CAAAATTTAATTTGTAACCGGGGGGGGGGTTCCATTTTTCCCGGGGGGCCCTTTTTTTTAAAGAAAATTTAAACCCCCCCCCCCCCCCCCCCCCCACTCGGTGTTTGCCATCGGGATTGGGTTTTCGTCGCTTGGCAACGTTGTAAAACAAGCCAATTCACTTCGTGAACTCGGCAACCAGGTTACCGGTTTTTTTTTTACCTCGGTTTTTTTTTTGGCGGTAACCATAATGGTGGTCGAGTAGATCATGTTGTGCGGGGTCGAGAAACCTCACTCCGCGCAACGGGGGATGATCGCACCACGTTGTGTTAAAATGGTCAAGCTTCCTCGAGGCAGGTACACAGTGCTTACAACTGTCTCTGGAAGTGAAAGCACCAGAAAATAAATTAAGTCATACGTAGCTGTCATCCGTACGCAAGGAAGTAAGCAGAAGATGCCGAACACCCTTAGCAGGATGCGGCTCACCCTTCATGCGACTCGCCAAATACCTCACGGCGCTTCGCGCTTGGTGATGTGAGAGCCTGGTCCGGTGAGAACCCGGCGTGCTCCGTCCCGGCTTTGTAGGGATGCGAGGTCAACGGTCAAACGATTACGGCATGCACGACTATGAGTACACCCCCCCCCCCCTAGCAACAATTCGGGTGTTACGGCAAACAGCATCCAGATCCACCGAGCGTCCAATGGATTTTTTATACGTAGCAAGCGGCGAAAGTTGTTTTTTATTCTGCCAACCCAACCCAACAGCAGTCAGGAACAATCCTCATTGTATTATGAGGCCGGGAGGAAGTGTTTTGCACCCAAAACACGCAAACCCTCCTGTTCGCTGTAGCAGCGGTGCCCAGTCGCACCTGTGATCCACCCTCAGACCGTTATCCCGGCTTGACACGCTGTCCTCTTGAGACACGAGTTCAGTTTCCCGTCTAGTCGTGTATGGGAACCAGCGAGCGAGCTCTGCTGCCGCTGCTACCTCCTGGTACACTCATAGCATATTTCCGCCCCCTCGCTTGTAAGCGCACGATTCAGTCCCACTACATAACCATGACAAAGTCCTACCGGCGTCTATCTTCCATTTCCTCGTCGCGCCCTGTGCTTAATCTGGACTTCTGCGTCAAGTCTCGTGGTCCACCACGACTGAAGTATACCACCCACTATGCCCCGGCTCTGGAACCGCAGCTACCCACAGTATTCGAGCGCACAGGATTTCAAACTGTAGTAGTGGGCGCGGAACAACGCCGGTGTGTGCCCGGCGAATTGACAGGCGCTGTTCAAAGTTCATAATGACTCGGTTCTTCGGTCTGTGCCCAGCATTTTATCCGGCACTGTACAGGACCGCCGGCGTTATTGAACGGGCTTTGTGAAGACCACTACTGTACCGGCATCCCCATATCGACAACCTGACTTGCTGTCCGTATCCCCTGTGTGCGTATCTTCTGATCATCCCCTTTGCCTTCACTCCGACTAGCGCTTCCGCCTATTGTCATCGCAATATCGAATGGTAAAAAGCGTATTTTTAAAGGCAGTCACCTATGATTCGCGATAGCGTCCGTCGGAGGAATTTTCAATTCCCCTTCCCTGACCCCCACATTTCAAATCATCAGCTGCGCATGGAAACATGTTGTAGGTACAGCGCATCTCATCGTGTCGTGGGGGTGTGCGTTTCTTTGTCCCATCTATTATTTCGCCAGTCTACACCTTTCGTTGTATATTTGACGTGTCAGCGGGGGTCGCACACGGGAAAGGAACGCTAGTTTTTTTTTTTGTCCCACGTCCCCGCTGCGGTGCTTGCTATTGATGTGGCCTCCCTCTATTTTGATGTACCTCACGAATTGTTCATTCTCCACGGCAGAATTGCAAATGTTCGTTCCAAAAACAAATAAATAATTCGAACCCACAACCTGTTAATAAATCGTAGGTTTTCGAGGATATCCACTAGACAGACCACCGAGTGTGACCCTTTGAAAATCAGAGTGATATTTTTGGCAAAATTATGATTCAGAACGCCATGTGACGACGACCAATTTGTTCTGCATTCTACAGTAGTAACGAGCGCAAACAAGCTATCTCAACTAATACCACTACTCCGTATGGCGCAAAATGGCGTTTCAAAACGTTATTTAACATAGTAGTATTTTTTTACAGAGAAAGAGACTGTGGATCCGGGTCCCCTTCGCCCGAATCCAGCTAGTTACTTCAAGAACAGGTAACTAGTGGGCTGTCCCGGAATATACATTTTCTCCATGAACCATTGCCGAAGCAAATACTGGGTTGGATTTCCGCAGCCCCCACCCTGGAAAGTATCTAAGTCGCTACCGAACAAACGGACACACGCACCCTCGGGGCTTACCTACGAGAATCTCTGAAAGTCTCCGCGGGATCGCGATTATCTCGAGAACAATAAACTCTGAAACAACACCTGTTCCGTAAGAGATGTTCCTCTGAAACAGCTTTCAACAATTAGTTTTGCATGGCACCCGGGGATACCTCAGCCACTCGGAATACATTCAAGAGCCTGTGTGGCGTACGGTGGAAAACTTCGATCGGATGGATTCATGGTCAAAACATACATCGGCAGGAAACGCCCGATACAGTACTTTCGGTGACTTCCCGAGGTTAGGTGAAGTTGCAGGAAGTTGAGGCCAATAAGCTGCTTCACGCCATGCTGGGATCAAAGGAATCGCTTGACTCCGCACTGTCAAACCTCCGACGTCGTAAGTTGATGCACGCCTAGAAAACGGTGTTGACCCCGTCCATTGGGGGGAGAATCTCTCTGCTGTAGGGTCGATTTGACACAATCCTTCCTTCGAGATCAGCAACCAACGCCCTGAGACTCGCAATCGTTGCCTGGAAGATATAGTCATTCAGGATGCGTTGTGGTGCCAACGTGAGTAAACGATGCAGAACCTCATCATAGGCGGTGAGAAACGAACTGAATGCAAATCGGCGAGGGACGAAAAGGGGTTGTACAATTTTATCTCTAACTCTGCACAGCATATTTTTTTGGTACTTTCGTACATTGGGCGGACGCTGCAAACCGCAAGAACATGCATTTATAGTCAGTCCGACCGCCGGTGGCCATTGGTATGCACAAGAATGTTTTGAAAAGCAAGATCACGGAACAAAGGAAACTAACATATAGCGTGCCGCTGAATGCGCACTAGCTCATCTGACCTCAACGTTGTATTGCTTGCAAGAGCTCGGACATAAAATGTTCACCTTGTTGTTCTCAATTATAGATGCTGGTTCCTCGTGGCTGGTTTCGGGCCGGTCGCCCACCACGCCAGTGGACGAGTGCACAACGCCAGCTGCTTTCCGGTGTTTTGAAGAGGTCCCAAATCGTTTGAGCATATTCACCTTTTTTGGTTACGGTATCATTTTCGGAGTAGCGCACTGCAACGTATCGTTTACAAGATAAGAAACCTTCGTGTAGCCACCATTGAGGGCAAGTAGCTTTTATTGTAGCGCTGGTCGTTGAGCCCGGTTACTTGCGGCAGTTTTTTTTTTTCTAACCGAGCCTCAAAATATAGCTAATACTACTTGTATTCATTCATCGAAATGTCACGCCAAAAAACTACTATTACCATGCAGGACGTCGTTTCGGTAGCTGAAACAAAGTTTCAGCTGCAACAGCAGGACTCCCGTCCATTATTTCTGCGAAATCAAGTGCGTGTACCCGTTGTCTACGCCCTCCGTCATTGTTGGGCGCGGTGACGCGCGTTGGATCCCCAAAATATCTCGCACACCCACTCATACATTGCCACGTATATAATCTTGAACGGCAGTACACCCGGACGGATACATAGGTGGACCCCTACAACGAACGGTGCGAACACCAATGTTGTTGTCACCTGGGCTTCGAAGACTCGTTTGGCGGTCTTATTGTGAGCTCGCTGCATGTTGATTTCCTTGATCAGGAGCATGTTGTCCTGCATCACCTAACGAGCAGAGGGTTGAATTGCAATGGGGTACCATGGCGTGTGAAGAGCTAGATTTTCGTAATACAGTCGACTATTATAGTGCAGCAGTAAAAGAGGGGTTTTCTATTGAATGTAGCATTTGGAAGTCGACTATTAAAAGAGCCGGCGAAGAACTGTTCGCGCCGCTGTGGTACTTAGATTCGAAGCGGAGTAGGTATTTCTTGTATGCGAAAGGTACCGGAACTTCGGGTTCCGCCACAACCAACCGTGTCCATGGCTCGTGTGTAGCTCTCTCTGTTGTCACGTTACTCACCTTGATATTTTCTGTGCGGTGCCCGCCAACGTCCGCCACAAACTTGCGGTGCAAGTAGCGCAGGCTTGATTCCAAGTATTCCTGGGTGAACAAAGAGGTTGCCCTTACATCGGTTAGCAGGGCACGTGATAGGGACGCTGGCTTCACCGGTCAAGGTTTGTGGGACTGCATAATGATCCATGTTGGCAGCAGCACGATCAGGGTATCCAACGTGCTCCCGCGTGGCCGCTGCCCGTGCCATGCACACCGTGCGGCTTCCCAGAACACGCACCCAAAATCACGCGACTCATGTGGAGCGTCCATTGCGAATTTTCGATTATCATTCGAGAGGCCCATCCATGGCTGAGTGATGTACAGTAGTTGAATAACAATATTTCTTTGACCTCGAGCTGCAAGGCAGCGAAAGCAAATGTTTGTCTTTTGTTATGAACACCAACAGCTTCAAGAATAGTATTCCCCCAAACGAATACTCCTCCCCTCCCCGGCGTTTGCCATCGGGGTTGGATTTTCTTCGCTTGGCAACGACGTTGTAAAACAAGCCGATCACTTCGTGAGCTCGGCAACCAGGTAACCGCTTCTTTTTTTACCTCTTTTTTTTTTTTGCGCTAACCATAATGGTGGTTGAGTAGATCATGTTGTGCGGGGCCGAGAACCCTCACTCCGCGCAAAGGGGATGATCGCACCACGTTGTGTTAAGTTGGTGAAGCACCCTCGAGGCAGTTACACAGTGCTTATTACTGTCTCTGGAAGTGAAAGCACCAGAAAGTCATGCGCAGCTGTCATCCGTACGCAAGGAAGTAAGCAGAAGATGCCGAACACCCTTAGCAGGATGCTGCGCACCCTTCATGCGACTCGCCGAATACCTCACGATGCTTCGCTCTTGGTGATGTGAGAGCCTGACACAGGGTGTGCCGAGATGCCCTATGATGCTACTTGCGGTGTGACATGCGGGTTTGAGAATGGAACTTGTCGCGAAACCTCTAATGACATTTTACTGGGGCCAAGACAAGGACGAAGTGGGCACAGACAACGTCCCAGCCCCACGTCGGTCCTCACGCAGATTGCTTAGCAAGAGAATGAATGCATCAGCATATTTCTGCTGAGTGCAAGAGATGCACATCGGTTCTGGTGCACCCTCGTGGTGGGTTCTACTGACGATGTTCGATACCGAGTACTACAGCAGTAGTGTCTTTCACTTGGGATGTACGTCGGTCTTTATTTTTTGTTTTGCACTCCATTGCAATAGTTTTACATATGAGTCTGAGCTGATTCGGAAAGGAGGTAGACATGACCCCTCGCAGCCGCAGCCTTTCACCCCTTTCCCGACAAAGTTTGGCACAGACATGTTGTCATGAGAAAATACGTACATAACAACATGCGACTGCGAATTGAGTATGAAATTTTCAGCGCGTGGAGATGCTGAGGTTGCACCAAATCTTGGGCTGATCCATCGTTCAGTGTGTCATGGACCGCAGCTTGAGCGAGGAGAACAACTAGGGAGAGCAACGTTGTGTATTTGTATGGATAGAGGAATTCAACATAACCCCGGGAAAGTTGAGACACCATCGTACATGTATCAATTCGTTGTCGGACACACACATCCGGACGGACGCTCCTGGTGTGTAGGTTCGTTGATTACACCGTAGAACTCACCCGAGGAGAGGGGATGGCGTGGTCGAATACATCGAGAAAGGGCCATTTTCTACATGCTAGGCAGTGATAGAGCTGGCCCACCTTGTGTCGATGATACTCGTGTATCACATTAGCGTCCATCTCATTCCTGGGCAGGTCCACGTTGACATTTGATTTGTACATCGCGGTGACATGTGCGCGCAACGCTGGCGGATCTTGGATGTGCTGGACACACTCGTACAGCTCTTTCTGCGTTCGAAACCGACGTACACGCCCAACGACGGGGGGTGAAGGTCGCGGGAACGTGTTAAGTTAGGTAGAACGACACCATCTCACCTGCAACAAACAGCACATGAGCAACCTTCTGTCCAGTCCGCACCTACGAGTGAACTTATTTTCAAGGTGTCGATTGATAGCACTACAACTACTTGTTTCGTTAAAGCGCAAGTTTACTTACCTGGAGGCGCCCGCGCGAGGCCTCTTGGTCGGCAATCCGTTTTCGTTGGTCCAAATTCTGGGCCTGCATCCCGTCGAGCTTTTCACGAAGCTCCCCAATAAGCAAGTCTAGTTGAGCATTACTGTTGTGAAACTGGAGGCAAGCGGAGAGGGCGACGGACGTTCCCGTATGTGTATGGTGGTCTTGCTCACTACTTGAGAACCTAATTTATTCCCGCTTCCGTCGTGTTAAAATATGCCCAATATCAATATCCCCATGCACCATACAATCCTCAATTTCCTCTACATAGTGAAGTGTCAATTTATCCTTTCTCTACGCGGAATAGATGCATACTGTATACATTGTATACCCTCGGCTACGTAACAAATGGCTCGCGCTCAAGTCTAGGTTACGGGAACCTCTTGTTACACGAGATGCCCGCAGACTACACTAGGGCACCGGGCGTCTTCAAAACTTTCACAGACGATCAACCTGGTAGCATAGGTCACCTGTTCAAGCTCCCTGTCCATCTCCTTGATCTGTTCCTTCATGCTACCGATCTCTGTCTCGCGAGGCTCAATCTGGCGCTTCAGCTCTTTGATTTTGAAGTCGAGCACAAATTTGAATTTTTCCAGCTGGGGGGAGAGGCGAACAGGATGAATGTTTGTCAGACGCATGAAGCATTCATATGACATCCAGTCAGCAAAAAAAGAAAGGGAAAATGGAGTACCAGCCTAATCACTGCTTGTACTGAAACTTGCCTCCTGGTTTTTTTTCTTGAGCTCATATATCTTTTTCTCCTTTTCTCCAATGGTGTCGTCTCTATACTTTATCTCTCGTTTGTGGGCTGCGATTTCTCGCTCCAGTCCTTTGATCTTCTGTTGGAGATCTTTTTCTTTCTCGTGCAATGTCCTTATCTCCTCCTGTGGTCATAAGCAGTGCCAGTAGATGAAGGGCTGTAGGTGTGGTGGGATCATGTTTATGCACGTCTGGGCGAACTCATGCTTCTTTGCATTCAACAGGGCTTTTGCCTTAGAGCCAACTGATATCCTCATGTCTTATTAGGGTAAGATGGTTGATGAAGCCAGTGCAGAAAGCGTCAAATAATACAGAAGCACGTGGTTATGGACCAGTATCTGCTCGCGGGCTTGCTGAAAGCTACCATCACGAGTTGGCATCACCCCAATCAGTATTCTATTTTCGAACGCCCCACTTTCACCTTTTGATCTTCGATGTCCTTGGTCAAAACCGTGAATTTTTTCTTCATGATACCGTTCTCCCCTTTGTAGCGTAGAGTGGCCTCGCGTTCGGCAGTGAGCTGATTCTCAAACCGATTCCTACAATAAAAGCCACAGGTTGTAAATAAGACATCAGTCAAGTAAATCGAATATCCACTGCCCGTAGAGAAGGAGCATGTACGGAGATGGAAACCAACGCGTGAGATCAACTGACGACGCCGACATCTCTTTAAAATCACAAGCATATAACCAAAGTGGCTTACCGCAAGTTGTCGATTTCCGTGTCAATATCGTCCTCCACCTGGTGCTTTGTTTCAGTAAACTCTCTGTCGAGTTCCGTTTTCTCCTCATGCAACTGAAGGCGCAGTTGTCGGTCTTCGCCAAGTTTTTGCTCGAACTCCTCGGTCAGTTCAGCAACATATCTGTCTCGAAGCATACGGTAATTCGTCTGTACTTCACACTAGCAAGCAAGCTTCCGTGTGACCATAGCGGTATGTCCAAGCGGTATCAACTGTAAGGCATGCCTCCGGAAGGAAATTGAGTTGTCGCATGCTCTAGTCTACGCAAACAACATTCGAATTCCTATATATAGTAGTCACCTTTCGTGTGTCGTGACGAGCAGTTGCTGTTGTTCGTTCCACCGGTCTTGCTGCATGTTTCTCTCCTGGACAAGCGCCTGCGACCATAACAGCCATGCATTCGGTAAGGTGATGCGGCTAGATGTGCGACACGTGGTAGAGAACGCGGCCTACAATCGGAAGAACGTTCCTGGGGCGGTGGTTGCGTTCTATGCGCACCCAAATCATGAGAAGCATCAATCACCTGGTACCGCTCGACCTCGCCCATAATCTTTTGCTGGTATGCGTTTTCCAGCTCTTGCAGTTCGTGCTGATGTTTCTCGTCCATTTCCCTGAGGCGTGCCTCATACTCCATCTCCAAGTCACTTTTTTCCTCCCTGTTTTTTTCCGGAGGTGGTTTCGTTTCAGCAGTATGGATTAGTCGGGCTTTGATGCCGTCGATGACATTCCATGAGTTGGACAGCAGTCTAGTTTGAAGCTAGAAGATCGCTCCTCCCCCCTTCGAAAGATCCGACGCCGGTCATCGAGACATACCTGAGGAGATCAAACTTGTTCTTGCTCTGTTCCAGATCTTGCGTGAATTTCTCGGTGATCTCCTGAAGTCATTGATACGAGGGATACATGAATCGTGAAACATCGTTCGTTGGTGCTAGGTTGAGCGCTGCACGGGGGGGTACGGCACGACGCAGCGTATGGTGCCTAAAACCAAGCCGTGCTGCGACGCACCTTGATCTTCTCAGAGTAGTTCATATCCTTCAGTCGGAGTTGATACTCATTGTGCAGAGCAAGCTCGTCGACCTTGTTCTTGAGCTCTACCATCAAAGCATTCTTGTCCTCCAGATTGCTCCTTGTCACCAAAATCTCCTGGGCAATGCGTACAACGCACATTGTGCGAGGAAGTCGTCGATGGGAGAAGGAGAAAAATGGAGCATCTACATCATGTCACGACTTGTAACAAGGTTGTCCCACCGAACCCCCCAAAGTTCAGAAACTAAATACCTGTTTGAACCGTAACCTGTTTCGGCCTTCACAAAAGTTTGAACCACCCTGTCTGCTGCCAATACTCCCCGATTTTGCCAGACTCCCCGAGCAGAAGATCACGGTGCAGTACACATTGAACCAACAGGGCCGATGCATTTTCCGGTAGGCATTGGTCAACAAATATCACCACAGGGAGCAAAGAGTTGTAGCAAGTGCACGCAACTCAACACACCTCAGACGCCGCAAGTGGCTGCAGCTCCCCGCCCCCCAGCTTCGAACCCGCCTGTCCTCGATCTTGGCGATCTCGGACATCGAACACAAAAAGGCAGCTCGCTTCATCCGCCGCTAACAGAAACTGGTCATCGTGTGTGATGCACAGACGTGTAACTGGTGTGCCAACGCAAGCATACTGGCAAGAACGCGCGAACGCGCGAAATAAGAGGCGGGTGGGACGTGGACGAATTTAAACGACAAGAACGAACACCTGTAGGAGAGCTCTGTTCGAATTTATACTTTAGCAGACAACCATGATTTCCGTTGAGCTACATTGGTACATGTGCTGTGGGTCTCATGAAGACATTTAGAGCGGTACAGCGCTACAAAATACCTCAAGGTAGTCTCCCGTAAGTGGGAAGCTGTACGCTCGCACACAACCTGGCCTCCCGTTCTCCGAAGTTCCGGCAAACATCATGTGCTCCGAGTTGGAGAGTGCAATTTGCCCGAGCGTAACGCCAGCGTTGAGCTCCTTGATAACTTGTAGATCAGGGACCTCAAGCTCTTTCAGCACTCGGTCATTGCCCACGGTAAACACTGATTCTTTCGTGCTGGGCGGTGGCACGGGGTAGAGTTGGCGTAGGTCAACCGATACGATTAGCATGCTTGCTCAGCTTCGGGTTCAACGGTTGTTCGTGGCATAAAACTGAAACTGAGGGGACAACCCCGGACTGACCTGAGGGCACAGCTGTAGGTTGTCCCTTTTTGTACGAATTCCCCCAATCGCTTGGCTTCATCGACATCCCACTGGTAAACTGCTCCATCCTGTCCACAACTCACTAGAGTTTGATCTTGCCCCCCCCAGTAGAGATGCCGAACCTGAATCAACAGGATTGGAGGTCTCGATCGGCTTTTTTCGTGATACAGTTGGGAAGATGGATAGATTCAAACGGGATGCGGCGTCCAGAGCTGCAGGATCCGTCAGGCCTCAAGAGCGCGCAAGAGCATAAACTCACCTTGCTGTTGTGTCCACGAAGGTCCGCGAGCTTGTCGTACGTGTTGAAGTCAAAAATAGTTACAACGTTTCCGTTGACCGCTGCGAACATGCTTCCACCGTTGCTGAACTTGACCTCCCGGCATTGTTTGATAGAAATCTCATGATAAGTCCGAATGTCATCCATCAAAAGATTCATAAGGCGGAGTTTGTCCGTGAACCCCACTACAAGATGCAGCCCTGACGGATGCATCGCAAGACTGTACGGCTCCTCCTGGAACACCTTCCAAAGATCCAGCCGTTGTTCCACGACATTCCACACGCGTATAGTGCGGTCCATTCCGCAGGTAGCCACCAGAGGCTTACGAACACAGGTGTCCATACCCGTGATCCCGCCAGTGTTGAGACCAGGCCCGTGGAACAGGGATATGACCGGCTTCATGTCGCTGTCTTTAATCTGTTGAGTGATTATCTTCACCTCGAACAACTGGTTGTCAGAGGTCACCGCACACAGTCGGTCCTCATTCGGGCACAAGGCGAGGCTTACCTGAATCATGTCGTGCGTGGATGGCAGAGGCATGGATCAACGCGCGGCAAGATAACGAGTGACTGGCTGGTGCAGTGGCGTTTCGCTTATGGACAGTGTCTCTGAGCGTTCTATTTGGAGCACGTCTGAGCCCATGCGAAGAAATAGAATGGTTGCCCGTGTCGAGAAACTGACTACTCCGTACACACATTGTACCTCGATTGGACCCAAAAGTATGCATGCGATATTTTGTAGTGCTCACCACGTCAGCCGTTGTGTCCACCCGCCATATCTGCTTGCAGTCAAACATTTTGGCGGGACTAGGATTCTCCGCGTGATCCATCACGTATAAGCGCAGCCCTCCGTCGGAGCATCCCGCAATGAAGCCCTTTTATACCCACGAGGAAAACGTGATGGGGAGGTGTCTGTCATATATCATCGTGTAGATTGGTGCCCGCAGACGTTAGCGAAGACACCCAAACGTACACAATGACACGATGTGGTGCGGTTTAGTACTACTCTTTGAAGACTGCACGGCGCACATACCTGTGAGTACGAGAGGAGTGTCGCGATCTTCGTTTGGCCGCCGGGTGCACCAACCAAGTAGCACACAAAATCGCCAGATCTGAATAGCAACAATTGGCCGGTTTCTGTCCCCAGAATAAGGTGATCCTCGGGTTGCTTTAGCCACGTGTGGGACAAGAAATTGTGCTCCTTGACCCGTGGTGCTGTCATTGGCCGCAGATCACCTTCGGCTACACGGTAAAACTGGAAAGTTGAGTTTCCACAAACGCAAGCCAGTGAAGTATCCACAGGGCTGAAGCTGACCTGCTTGGCAACGCATCATTCATGTTTGAATTTTCAGGATGTACAAGAGACGTACAAAAGACGCATGTACCACATGCGCACGTAGAGGGCAAGTATCAACAACTGTAATACGGTGCACCCATAGCTTCATACACGGGCAGTGAGCTACAATAGAACACGGGACATACCGACGTTCGTGCACGAACGGGAACGTCACGACCTTAAGATTTGAAATACCTGGTAGACAGGGAGGGTCTCAGATGTCCGAATTTTGGCAAGTTGGCGCGCCTTCGCCCAGTTCCATAGGACAAGGTTCCACTCAGGAGCCCCACCTTGAGCAAGCAGCAGATTACTATCGTGACTAAAAGCCAGGCTTACGCATTGACTTCCGTCCTCCTCAACTTGTAGTGTCTTCCGTATCCGGAGCGTCCGGAGGTCGTAAAGTGAGACCTTTGTGCGTTCGTTGATAGCATGCGGCGAGAATGCGCGTTTTGGTCAACGGGTCGGTGTTTGTGTTCAATCAATCGCCGAAGTCACTTCTTAGATTACATGCGCATGGCCATAATAAGTAGGACGAAAACACACACATGGGCAGGCGGTTAGCGCGGCCGATACTAATAATAAAAACACACATGGGCATACAGATCTACTGTAGTGCAATTTTGTGTCGTCTATGCGCCACTCGCATGTAATGAGATACACTCACCGTCGGCTTGTCGCCGTCTTCAGCCAACGCGACGAATCGCGCAGAAGGACACAGCGTCATGGCTGATATGGATTTTGATACGTCTGATCCATGGATGAAGCGCTGCTTTCCCTCTAGGATGTTGTAGATAACAATGTTATGTCCGGCCACGTACACGATCGTGACTTGGTCAGAAAACGCAACATCGTTGGCGCGGCTCCCTTTCACGCCGAAGACAAACCTGTGAGATAAACAAGAAGACATCTCTCTCACCAAAAAGGTCACTCCGAGTATTTACCGCCCGCTTTGCGGAAAGGGGATACTTGGAGCCGAAGGAGTTTTCCGAGCGTTTTATTAATACCGTACATGACCCTTTCTCTCTCCCTCTCCTCGCACGCGGGCTTGCACCTTCTTTACGCTTGTGGGTGCTGTTCTCCCGAAAATACACGACCGTTTCGATATCAGAAAACTATAAATTGTAACGCCACCCACAGAAGACATTATGAACACCGTTATCCCCTTTTTTGGTACCCCCCCTCCTCGCAACCAAAAAAGCCCCCGTGGGCAAACACGTTGGTGAGCCGGAAGACGGCCTCAGCTTCTCTGTTCTGCCACGTGTGTGTGTCGACTACCCAGCACAATCGTGGCGTGTGAAGATGTATGGACCTCCACCTGCCACTGTTGGTGCCATGGTCTCCCCTGAGCGTGCATTGGAGCACATGTCTGTGGAGAAAGCATGGAGTTTGCTCGACACGCTTTCTTCGCAGGTTGTGGGCAAGCAAACGGAGCTGCAGGTGTGCGCACAGAACATTGCACAAGTACTGCTCTTCGCCCGATCCCCCCACGCACCGAGTACTCGCAAGTTCGCAAGCCGCCAACTCGCATTGATTGGTACTCGTTACTGAGCTTTCTTCCGTGTTCAATCGTTCCAGCTCATGGTGGGTTCCCGGTACCACGAGCTGATCGAGTCTGCGGACAGCATCGTATCCATGAAGGAGACAGGGGCGGAGGTGCTCGGCCTCCTGCGGAAATTCCCCCAAGCATGTTCCAACGTGCTTCAGCAGGTGTGCAGGACCGGACCCTACATGTAGCTACCTCACAGAATATCAAGGCGAACAAGTTCTTTTACGTACGCGCCCTCGACAGGAGGGCGTATAAGCTGGACCGCAGCAAGTCGATGTACGTGCAAAGTGCACATTCGTGTACGTAAGCTGCATTCCAGGTCCTCGACTATTGTACGCCCCCATTGGCCGGTGTTTGTTCCGTGTCTGGTATGTATGATATGCATATGATATGATCGTACGCAGGCATCAGACACAGGCCTGGAATTTTAACTTTTACTGCTGTTTCTACTTTCGTCTTGCACAGCAACAGCTGTTGCACTCCGGGACATGCTTGTTACTCCGTACATTGGACGACTCGGCCCGTACGAGCAATTTGACTGATTTTGAACACAACCGCCAGAGCACCAGACAATGCACACGAGACACACAAGAGCAGTCGGAAGACATCGGGAAAAACAGAAATCGTTGATTCTCGCACAGGGAGGTATAATACAAGTAGTAGAGTCTGCTCAAAGCGTGCATATCATGAGTCTGCCTCCACACGCCTCCCTTGAAATCAAGATAAAAATCTAGTCTATATTCAAGTCAAGAGAGCCAGAATGGCACGCGCTTAGTTGAGGTCAGTTTTGCGTTAGAACTCCCTCACGCGTGTTCTACTGATGATATCACGTGAGGACACCCGACAGCAGCGGGGTGTATGTGTTGGCGCGCTCGAGTCCGCTTCTTGGGTGGTTATTTCGAGGTTCGCAGTAGCGGCCCACAATCTCCGCACATTGGACCGACACCCAGTGTCCTGTATCCTGTGCTGCTTCTCCTGAATTGCGGGAAGTTGTAGCTGATGGCACTACCCACTGCTGACGACCGCGGTTCAGGGGTTTACGGTGCGTGGCGGCGGTGAGCACGGCTGTGACAAAGCTGGGTTACGGCGAAAATTACGGACTGTTTGAGAGACAGCTGCGACGTTCGGTATTTCAGCCTCCAGTAGCAAACCCGAACGTGCATCACATACGCCGTCTCTTCATGCTGTCCTCTACTGATAACAGCAGTAGAATTCATCCGATCTAAGCGGCGGGCAGGTCGCTTTGTTTTGTACTGAATTAAGTATGTAAATAGAGCCAGTGTCAGAAGGAGGTTGTATGCCGTCCGTTACGCTTTTACCACTTTTTCCATACATTGCGCTCCATGTTCAATGCGTTGCAGCAAACTGTAATGATGTCGATGGAATTTGAATGCGCGGGCCGTTGAAGTCAAGATGTTAATACAGTTACAGTAGCGCCCCCGATTGAGCACCAATATTTTTAAAAGAAACACGGCTCAAATTTCCAAAAAAATAAGAAAATAGGGTTGTGAAACATAGCTTGTCTGGCCCACAGTGTAAGAAACGTCTCAGTACGAAAACAGAGCGACCGTTACCCTACTACATAGACGAGGGGTTTCGGGTGAGTGTGTCGAAAAAGAAACACCCCACAGCTCCTCTCTCCCTTTCCCCCTCTCAGTAGTACTGTACGACGAGGGAGGAGGAGTCGGTTTTTTCAAGCATGGTTGAGTACGGGAGGCTAGGAAAGGCAGCGGAATTCACTTTTATTTGGCACGTTGTGCAAGCAAGCAGAGGAAACAAGAAATTGCCGATTGTCAGCGGGATTCAGCAGCACGAAAAGATAAGCAGCTTTACATAAGAAGTTGAACAGCGTACGCTGAGTTTTCAGCCCACAATATTAGAATTTGAGGCTGGACCGGAAAATGGCGTCTCAAACGTGGGCGCTAACTGTATTACATTTCCGATCAAGCGTTTCCGCCGCCGCTCGCTCGCACCCGCCGTTTCAGGTCCCTTCGTCGTTATCTCCAGGGACCAGTGATCTCAGCGGCACCGACGTTCGTGAAGACGCGGCCGCGAGACATGTAATGGAGGTGAGTTGAGCTCGGAGCCCTACCTTGAGAGGCGCATGCCACCTCTCGTGTCAGAAACAACAGAGTGGCGCCTTAGGACGCCAGAGCCGACAGCTGTACAGTTGTAGTGACAAGCACATAGTGCATCTCATATCTCAGGAATATTTAGTGTCCAGCTCTGTTTTGACATGGGCGGAACACCGCTCGGTGTTTTCCACTCTCTCGAATAATATTACTTAACCGTAGCCCTTGATGTCGATACCCAGGTGGTTCAGCTCATGCTCCATGCGCCAGCGGCCATGTGGGCTGCTTTGGACTCGAACAAGGTCCTTGAGGCAGCCAATCTTGTGCTCAGATGCCGAAGTAGCTGGACCGATTTGTCCAGCACTTTCTCCACGGGAGTGGACTCCGGTGTCGCTGCCTTCTTACGTGGCCATGTGACTTACGTCGAGCAGTTTCCTCGTCGCATCCTGTCGGCTGGGACTCGCCTGTTGACGCGTTCTTGCAACACACAAGAGACCGCTGGAGCTCTCACGGCAATACTTCAGCTGCAGGCGCTCGAGGATGCCAACCCCCTGCGGTGAGCACTAGCGGAGTCCCTAACGTACTCGTTGTTTGCGATGTGCCGATTGACCGCGGTTGGAGTTAACTGCTGTTTTTTATTTTCATCATGTCCACTTTCGCGTTGTGTTTCAATTTTTAGGTGCTTGTTGGAGCTCCTTCTTCTGCGCAGAGGTGGAGCTGTGGTAGCGATGCTTACGCGGGCTACGAAGGAAGAAAATTCTTCTGACATAGAACAAGTATTGCACGCCGCTGTCACCACCGTGCAAAGGACGATTGTGGATGTGCACGCCATCTTTGCGCCTGGGCGAAACGGAAGCTGCATGCTCGAGGACCTTGCCCACCCCTCATGCCGCAGTCAAGCAAGCCTGCGGTTGTCAGCGCATGACGCGAAGGACATGTGCACGACCTGGTTGTCTGTGCTGACTCCGAAAATTCGTGTTTTTGGCGAGCGTCTGCTCAGAGCGACCGGTGATACCAACTCTCTGGCGCGCATCCGCGGCTCTCTGTGGAAGGTAACCCATGGAGACGGAGCGTGGGCCACACCAGCAGCAGGAACACGTGCAGGGGGTAGCATTAGAGCAGTGCAGGGGCTGATGTGGATGGAAGCCACCTCATTCGCAGTGGATGTATCTGCTTGGGATGGTGGTACGAACGGCAGTACGCGCGCTTGGGGACAGGACGTATCTTCCCCTCAGCTAGATTTGTGGTCCCTGCTCTTCAGCCAGATTTTTGCAGACCTGGCAGAGGCCCTGCTGAAGGACTCGCTAGCTAGCATCCGGAGAGATGTGGAGTGTCGCCTTGACTCGATACTGCTTGCCATCACACGGAACGAGACGGGGCAGGGGGTGCAAGAAGCAAGAAGTTTCTCCGGAAGTCACCGGCAGGAGCAACCCCATGCGCTCATGGCACACGATATTCTCGCAGCCGCCGACGCAGTAGTGTCACTACTGACATCGGAGATCCGCAATCTTGCGGGAGATGCGACGTGTTTAACAGAGCGCGGTGATCAAACTGCGGCAGATGCGCTGAAAACTTCTTTTTATCTCCTAAGCGTGGACATGGCGGCGGGCCTCGCCAATCACCTTCGCATTGCGCTGCAGGAGATTCATGCCTGCATCAAGTCCGCTGCGGAGCAGGAACGACGATGTGTGCCATACGGAGGCCGAATTGGGGACCTTGAGAATGCTGTTAGCAGCTTTGCTGATGCAGGGCTCTTGATCGGCCGAGTAGCATGGATGTTGAATGGCCGAAGCGGGGGACCTTTGCAGTATGCCCTCACACCCCCGGCATGCTTTGCCCAACGGCGACGTGGGCGCATCGAGGAGCAGCAGCTAGAAGCAGCGTTTGTGATAGCGGACACGAATGGCGACGGTGTTGTTGATACCGAGGAGGCGGCTGAGGCGCTTCAAGCTGTATCCTTCGGGGCATCAGCGGCACTTGCTGTCGACCCTAGCCGGTACGCATCGTTCACCCTGAACGAGTTCTTCCTGTTTGCCACCCGGCTCCTCGAAGAACAACGGCCGCGTCAGCACTTGACCAGTTGTCTTGATACTCTTTTGTCGGAGTCCCTGGCAGTGTGGTCGGAATGGGCTTTGGAAAAATCTGCTGCTCTCCTTACTGAGGGATGCAATGCGATGGTGATTTTGTGTGCCAACCCTGGGATGACCAATGACTTGTGGCGGCAGGCCCATGGCATATGGGAGGACAAGACGATTGAGCTTGATCGTGACGACGGAGATGGCATCCAAGAAACCGTGCACTTTCCCATCATGGTTTCTCCGGCTATTCTGTGCTACATCGAGGGCGTAGCCGCTGAACTGAGCCGGATATTGAGTACAGCCGACCTCACAGAACGTGCCGTGACTGAGAGTTGCAGCGGATGGAAGACACAGGATGCGCAGCCGTCTGGAGACGAGGAACGGGCCTTGGGTTGGTCGGCACCGGGTAAGGCCACTGGCCAGGGGGCGGCACGCTATGCGAGATCTCTAGCTGCTGTCCGAGCGTCAAGCGATTTGAGCCACGCACTGGTTGGACTTTGCGAGGGTGCACATTCGGCAGCGGCACAAGCGTGCGAGGCGGCACAGCTTCAGCTACTGTTGGATGCGCTCTTCTTACAAAAGTGGGTTTCAGATTCTCCAAAATCATCTCCGTCGATGGAGTCGGTTGTTACAACTCTGTGTGATCTGGTAGATCCGATCAACTTGCAGATTTACATGCCGCACCTTCAGACGGCGGCATCAGCGTGCTGGGCGGCGTGTCACACGCCTCTCTCTTTGATTTTCGAACAAGCAATCCCTTCTAGCAGTGCGCCATCCAGCGCTTCAGTATCACCGGACGGGGCACTGGGTTCGTCGTCTAGCTTTATTCCCTTGGCTCCGAAAGTGCGTCGGTTTGAAATTCTCCCTCTCTCTCTAGAAGTGGTGCGACTACAGCATCCGAACGGCTCATCCCGAAGTAGAAACTCGGTAGGGATAAAGTCTGGCGCACCAGCAAGCGGGGACGGGCCAGGCGCCTCCGCTCAGGCTCGTGGTTTAGAAGCTGGAAGGCAAGCTCTGGCCGGGCTAGGTAGCGTGTTGAGTGCACAAAATGCGCATGTTCAGAGCGTTTTCGGGGCGGCATCGCTGTTTCTAGGTGGGAGGAATCGTAGGGGTGAAGACGGAGATGGGCATAGTGAACGTTAAGGCTTAACACTGACATTTGTAGTGTGAATTTTCTTTCCTGCACTTGCTCAGGGGGTCCCTTCATCCCGAAGTAGAAATTCGGTAGGGATAAAGTCTGGCGCACCAGCAAGCGGAGACGGGCCAGGCGCCTCCGCTCAGGCTCGTGGTTTAGAAGCTGGAAGGCAAGCTCTGGCCGGGCTAGGTAGCGTGTTGAGTGCACAAAATGCGCGTGTTCAGAGCGTTTTCGGGGCGGCATCGCTGTTTCTAGGTGGGAGGAATCGTAGGGGTGAAGACGGAGATGGGCATGCATGGTGAACGCACTGACATTTGTAGTGTGAATTTTCTTTCCTGCACTTGCTCAGGGGGTTCCGGGCTTCCATCACGTTTTCTGCTTCTACTTTCAACCACGATGTGAATACGCATCTCGTGTGAAGAGCCATGTGTTTTGGTTACAAGTCACACGAGGTTTGTGCTTCTTGGCTGTGAAGGTTGTTACCACACCGCGTCGTACTCCGGAGTTTACACCACACGATGGCGCACAGAAAGCAGCAGAAGGTGGCACAATGTAGCAAGAGGACAGATCACATCGTGTGGCAACTGTGGGTAGGCACAACGAAAATGTCCGAGTATTTTTATCATGCGTTTGTTCGATCGTTTGGTGCATATTCTTCTGCGCGTGAAGATATTATAACTTCCGCTCATGTCCTGTAGTTTATTCTGGCTGAGCCTTGAGTTCGGATGCTCTGTTCTGGTGGATGGCACATGGCCGCTCTAAGGTGCTACTTGATTGTAGGGGTCCGTATCCATCGGCGTTCACAAACCTTGCGGAAGGTCTTTATTTACTCCACTGTTGAGCATAAAATTCTCAAGTGCGGGCGATGTCCTGGTGTGTATCGCATTCATGTGTTGATCGTGGTAATGGCTTGCTTAATTACGCCCACTATGAAAGTCCATGCCTTCATTGCCATTCCACGGCCAGGATGTTCAGCCCATCTACGGGGAAAGGTAAATCATCAGCTCGTCATCCCCATGTGGCGGCCAGCCAAAAGCCGCCCTATGCGAACGGGAATATGCAGCCGCAGCGAGCACCCGGCATTTACAAAATAATTTGTAAACTTTGAGCGCTTGGGGAACACACTGCATCATGTTATCGGTGTGACCGGTTTCACTTCCGTACGACGGTGTGCTGCAACAGCTAAATTAAATCCATCGATTGCATCCCAGAAAGGCTTGCTCGTAGAGGGTAACAACGCTTCGATTTCCCGCGAAGGCATAAAATCCAGTAAATCACACGAGAGTGTCAGACCAACTCATGAAATACGTGCTCAAAAGAACTCGACCCTACCGGAATATTCTTTTCGCCTCGTCAAAGAGAAGCACATCACGCCCAAAATATCAACACAACCAAACGATGCCTCACGAACAACTGTCCGCTCGCACCAACACGACAAAGTAGACACAGACGAACTCGAACCGCTTCAAAGGTCAGCCGCAAGTTGGGTGGAACGCAAGGTATGAAAACGAACAGCAACCTTCAATCTACTTCACTGATCACATCAGTAAAGATCGTTCTCCGTTGCAAACTCGTCCTCGTCACTCTCGAGCTCGGCGCCTTCGTTGATCTTCGCCTTAATTCGCTTCGCCAGTGCCTTGTGGTCGCGCTTGGAGAGCTTCTTCTTGGGGCCCTTCACCTTGGATACGTTCCCTGCGGCATCCGTTACTTCCTTGATCACAGCCTGGTCGCTGATCTTCTCATCCTGGCGTTCCATCCACCCTGCGTCACCCTTCGTCTCCAGCCGGCCCGAGTCCATCACCCACTCCTCCGGGCAGACCGTGCTCACGAATTCGTTGTTGTGTGAGATGATCACTACACCTCCCTGGAAATCGTCGATGGCGCACGCAAGTGCCCCAAGAGACTCACGGTCCAGGTAGTTGGTGGGCTCGTCGAGGATAAGGATGTGAGGCTGGTTCCACATGGCAGCAGCCAGCACAACCTTCACCTTTTGCCCGCCCGACAACGCCTGCATTCGGGTGTGAGTGGCGAACTCTGCCGCCAGGCCGCAATCCGCGAGGTGCTTCTCCACGTTGGAGGAGGACAGCGGTCGCACGTACAGGCCGCTTGTCTGGGCGATACGCGCATCGATGGCCTTGATGGCCTTCCCCCATCCCTGCTTCTCGAGCTTTTTCCTGGGAAGGTAGTTGGGAGCGTCGCTGGCCACGGTGTACCGAACCTCGTACAAGTACTCCTTGGTCTTGTCCTGGCGACGGCCGCCGAGGAGCTCGGCAACAACCTAATGCGTGGTGGCGAACGAGGGATGTGACGAGGAATAAAAAATTAAGCACATGTTGGTCGAGAATTCCAGTATGTAGAGAAAGTGTACCGTGTACTCGACTCCGAACATTGCAAAACCTTTACATACCCGCTAGGGAGGCTCCAGATTGACGAATGAACTCGCGAGTGTTAAACCAAATTAACCACAAGATACACAAATGCCCTGTGGATATCATGGTTCTTCAGGCCCGTCAAGAACTCATGATTTGCATATAGCTGTCTCGTGCGACATCGTCTCACAGCAGTGCAAGAGAGAAAAACAACCGCGCCACTAGAATACGCTCGACCTGGGTTAGTTGTCCCAAAAAAAGACGGCCGAATTACGGCCACTACAACAAATTGGTTTGATCGTTGTCGCCTTCATAGGGAACCATACCTTTAACGGTAGCGTGTGGAACCTGTAATTCAGCGCCGTGCGTACCTTCTTAGCCTTCTTCGCCACGCCGGATTCTTCATCGGTCCACGTGACTTCAAACTGTGTCTTCTGGAGCTTTTCTTCCTCCTCGGTCACCACCATGGAAACCTTCACCAACGATTCCTTGTCCTGCGATTACGTAAGACAAGCATTGGCGTTTCATTTTCAGAGAACAGACTCCATTGGCGTTCCCAGTTCAGATATCAAGCTCGGCAACGCCAAGAAACTCTGGGCACGAGCAAACGAAAACTACAGGCGGATAGAAACAGCACACGCGAAGAAACCTGTTCGGCAAACATACCTCGCCGTTGTTGGCGAACCGCCACCGGATGTACTCGTTCGGGGTCTTGTTCATGTGGTCCTCGATGTGGTGGAAGGCATGCTGCGCCAAGTAAGCTACTCGCGCATTGGGATGCCGCCACACGTCGCCGGTCTGCGGTACAACCTCGCCAGTCAGCACCTTGATCATGGTCGACTTCCCCGCGCCGTTCTCGCCCACACACGCAACACGCGACGACAGAGAGACTTGGACAGAGATGTCGAAGAGGGTGGGCACGGTGTTGCCGGGGTACGTGAAGTCGCAGTGTGCCATCTTCATCAGCGCCTTACCCTTGGACTTGACGCCCTCGATCGGCCCGGGCTGCGGGAAGTTGAACTTCAGCTTGGACGCCTTGAGCTCGAAGAACGACTTGGCCGTCGGGTTTACCGCCACAAACTCGTTCAGGTTTCCCTTGAAGTTGACAAGCTTCAGGTTCTCGATCGAAAGGATGTGGCTGCAGCAGTCGTTGAGGAGACCAGAGTCGTGCGACACCATGATCGCCGTGACGTTGGTGAGGCTGTTGAGGTAGTTCTTCACCCACGCCACGTTGATGACATCCAAGTGGTTGGTCGGCTCGTCCAGCAAAAGGATGTCCGCCTTCTGGAGCATCGCACGTGCCATGGCCAGCTTCATGCGCCATCCTCCCGACAGCGTGGACACCGCGTGGTTAGGCTTGGCCTTCCCGTCTTCGGTGAAACCGACCGTGGCCAGCACCTCCGTCACCTGCGCACGGTCGATACCAATGCGCTGGATCTTCTCGTCCGCCATCACGTAGTCGACGCACGAAAGATGAGACTGCTCGCCTTGGATGTCCGCCTCGACGAACACCGTGCGCACCTCGGATGGGTCGGGGAATCCCTCGACAGAACCGTTCGCGATTGCCCGCATCAGGGTGCTCTTGCCAGAGTCGTTCCCACCAAGGAGACCGTAGTTCTTACCGCGCTTCAGCCTCATCTTGGTGTTGTGCAGGAGAATTTTGGTGCCTGCAACAGAACGGAAAACGCACAATATCCAAACCAGTTGTTAGGCGCTTGACGCTATTTGCCCAGTGTTTGTTCTCATTTCCCGACTTGCATAAGCGGGCTCGAATTATCGTTTTTACCTATATCCATGTGATAAATCCCCAACTCGGTCGGACCAGCGTTCACAAAGCGAGACGACTGATACAGAAAGTTGGAATGATGGGACACAACGTTGGACTCGTTCGTCGAAACTAGCATGCAAAATACTTGCAACACACATTTCGCGGTTCCCCAACTCGTACTCGTTCAAACAGCGAGACGTTTGACCCACCCAGCTTATTGACAGTGGAAACTAGGCTGGACTGTTTGGACGCAGAATGATTTACGTGGCACAACTCTTAACCACGGAGCTTCTTACCGTACGCCAGGGTGAACTGGCAGTTGCAAAGCTCCTCCGCATCCTCGTCATCGTCCACAGCCTCCTCGGCAACCATCATCTCTGCGCACTTCGACTTGAGAGTCGCGGTGGCGTCGCTAGGAAGATTCTTCACAAGAAGGGCCAACAGCTCGCCAACACCAGCCCATTCCTCGTCAGTGGTCTGCTTGAGGTCCATCAGCGTGCAGCACATGGAGGCGACGTAGGACACGGCGATGTCCGTGAAGTCATCCTTGGCGAGGGAGGGAGCCACAGTCCTGATGGCAGCGGAAACCTGGTAATAGTATGGGAGAATAAAAAACAGGAGCGTTTACATCGGTATTTTCGCGTTGCTTGGGTGCACTTTGTACCAAAAGGCTGTGGCATCAGAGGAGAAGACATGTGAACGGGTGGCAAGTGGAAAAGTGGAAAAGGACGATGATGGATAACGCTCTTTACAGAATAACGAATCACAAACTCGCGCTGCTGCATGGGTACATGGATATACTGATAGCCGTTGCTAATCAGACGACAGAATTGCAACAACTTGAGATGCTCGTTCAATTGCTCGACAGACACATGGGAACACATACGGGTGGCCAGGGGGGCAGGTTGGGCAGCAGGTACAACCTGGGGGTGGGGGGTGGGAGGCCGAGTTTGACCCCATTCATATTTGCATTTAGGGTTTTGCAGACCGCTGTGTTTGGAATAACGCCACTATCCGATATGTGGGATCACTTGCACACTTCGGCTGGAAACTCCGTGCAACCTTCCCCCCCAGGTGGTAGTCGGTGCCCCACCTACCCACAACCTGCCTCTGGCCACCAGTCGAACAATAAAATATACCCCAAAGGAACAACCAAAACATTAGTCCTTCGCTTAAAAAATTACCGCGTGTTTCACTTGTAGCTCTTGGCTTTCATCACCAAGTCACCGTATGAAACTAAAAAAAAATTGCATGAAAAAACAAGGAGAGATGTGGTAACGAATCATGCTACTCCATTTTGCCGGGTAGCTGACCTAGCATCTCGCGCCAACCTCCCCCGCAAACAACACCAGGCTGCCGTCTAGAATACAATATGCATATTAGGAGTTGACATCAATCAAAGACATGGCACAATATCACCGCGCGTGATCTTGTTGCCCCCCTACACAACGTGATACTTCGAAGTACAAGGGAAAACTACTGATGTAAAAACGTACACGTTCTATATTTTATCTCTGTAAGAAAGAACTCACCAACGCCATGTCGGACTTCTTCGACTTGCTGATCTTGCACAAGCCGTCAAGACGCATCAACTGCGCGTAGGCGCGGTCCGCAATACCGCGCGCCTCCGGGTTTGCGATGGTGCCGGCAGCCTTCTCGAGGGCGGGCATCAGAAGAGGCAAGAAAGGAGCCGCGTCCGTCGGTTCATCCACCAGCTTGCTCATGTTCTCGATGATGACAGATGACTGGCGCTTGGTGGCAGTTTCCTTCACGCGCAGCCCACGGAGAAGGAGGGGCACCACCATAGCCAGCGCGGGACTCTCCACCGACTGCACGAAGGCGACACTCGCCAGGTTGTGCATGATCTCCGGCACAGTGCCCGGGTTGATCACGGCCTTAACGATGTCGGTGGTCATGTGCTCCATGTCTCGGTTGCCGATGACGTCGCATGCCGCGGTCATGGCCGCGACCGCAGCGGTCTTGACCTGCTTCTTGGTGTCGCCAATGCACGGCGTCAGCGCGGGTACTACTTCCGGCAGGTTGTATCCCAGCTGGTGTGAGGCGTGGTCGCTGAAGGAGGTGATGATGTTGAGAGCCAGCACACGCGTTTGCCAGTTTTGCCCGACGTCCAGGCAAGCGAACAGGTCAGGAAGCACGGCCGCCACGGCGTTCGGCGACATCTTCGCCGCGAACGTCTCGCCGGTGATGGTTGCGGCCTTCTGGACGTTCTTCGCCTTGTGCGACGCCGCCTTGAGTACGATCGGCAGCAGCGACGCCATGTACGGCTCAGCCACGGGGCACTCCTTGATGAAGTGCGTCATGGCGTTGAGCGCACCTTCCGCCTGCTCCACGTTGGAGCCCCCCACGGCTTTCTTGAATCCCTCGAGAAGGGGCTCAAGCGACCGTACCCCGGAGTTGTTAACCTCGGCAGCAGCCACGGAAAGCTCCGCGACCTTTTGAGGGAAAGAGTCGCCGCCAGAGGGAAACGGGTGACAGGGAACGTCGTCATTGTACAGCAGTACCCCTGTACATCACGTCACCACAGCAGTCAACGCATGCCAACACTAATATGGTATCTACTGGTGGTGATCAAAGTAGATACGAAACGTATGAAGGCCGACCCCACAGGGTGCCTAAGCATTGGCGAAGGAGAAGGAGCGAGAAGGAGCGCTCGTATGTATGCATCTCGTATGTATGCATAGACCAGTTGCGTATATGTACCTACCTCCTACAAAAAAGTGGTGCTCTGCTGCTGTGAATCTTCATCAGGAAATTGTTCAAGAAGGTTTTGGAGGTCACACGGAACATTTTCAAAAAATAAAAATATTCGAATGGTGTTGCGACGTCAGGGAGTAGACGTCATCGACAGCACACGACTGAACTCTAATTGCCGCATTCGCTCGAGAGCATGCCATGTAGATCTCAGAGGCGATGGAGTTCTTAAGTTGTGAAATTAAAAAGGTATGCTGAACACACCAACGCAGTGGATATTTGGCGGGACTCCCGCACACTCACGTAGACGTAAAAAAAAAAGACAAGAACACGCGATGACGTTGCCGACGAAAAACGTGGGTGGTGGAGAGGGCTCTCAAGTGTTGCTGGTCGCAATGCAATAGACTTGTCGGGGGGAACGCGCGATGTTGACCAAAGCGGCTCTACTCATGAAGTTGCCCAGCCATTAGATAGGTTCGAGTACGTAGAGCGTTTGCACTCATGAACCCTACCCTACACTACCCTACCCCGAACTCGCGCGCTTGTGGCCTTTCACACGTCACAGCAGCTGCTGCGGAAAATTTCACGAATGTGCACTCGACGAGCTTTTGCAACGTACCCCGATCTGCCCACTACCCACACAGAAAAAAAACATTTCGGATAGCCTGGGTCGAAGGGTCATAGACTTCTGTAAGGGCGTCGGAAACCGCATCCACTCACGTTTCCCTCGGAGTCCGTGACGTAGAAGGTGTCGGTGACCTTGAGGCCATCCATCTTTTGCGCCTGGTACGTTTGCGTCGGCGGAACGTACAGACAAGGAGTCAGCGCGGTCAGCTCGGAAATAAAAAATCGCTGGTGACGATTACAACCTCCACACCAGCAACTCGTCGGCAAATTTAGCTGGTGTTGTCACTATCCGGAAACCAGCGCGTCGGGTCAGTACGATCTGAACGGACAAGGGGGTCGAGCTCCTTACGCCATGCCAGACAAGAGACATTCCGGGCAGATGCCAAAATTCGAACTGGTTCACCGGAAAGCCGTTTTATCCGCGACAGCGGTGCTGCACTGCCAAGCAACGTTAAACCTGACGGGAGATCATTCCCTGGACACTCACCAGTGAAGCCATCTGGTCTAGAAGACAGGTGTAGGGTTGCCGGCTTCACTGGCTTGGGGGGCGGTGGAGAGGGTGGGGGTGGGGAAGGTGTGTGCGTGCGTGTGGTGGTGGCCACCAAAAAATATTCGAGTTTTTTTTTTTCGAGAAAAAAACGGAGAACCCGCATACGCGCATCTGTCTGTCTCACCGGCGGACCCCCCGCTGCAGAGCCCTTGGCAGTTGGGGAGCCAAGCCAGCCAAGCAAGCCAGCCACGCAAGCGCTGGCGACTGCCTGCCCCACATCCACATCCACAGGTTCCACTGCAGGACATTGGACCAAGAAACCGGCCGGCCGTATGAGGAAGCATCGTGCTGTGCGTAACCGCATACCAGCTGATATCTTGGAGGATGCTGCACTGAATCGGGCCATCGAGCGGTTGCCTGCGAACTACAACTTTGAAATCCACAAGACTGTGTGGCGAATTCGCGAGGTGAAGTGCTTACAGCAGTAGGCAGGGCCAATACGTGATCGGCAAAGCCCAAACTGCACCTGTCCTTAAAAACACGGCTACAGCCACCAAGGGCACGTGGAATGCAGGCAAACTTGTGCCCCAAACTGTCGAAGGGAGGTAGCGGCGGGGGTCTCTGGTCTATGGTGAACTCTGGACTGCATGAAGCAGTAGAGGTTCCTGTCTAGTGCCCGTTGAACAGTGTTGTTTGAATGGCGCAGGTGCCCAATATAGTACTCGGTGTTTTCGGCGGGCACACCCTGAATTTCGCAGGCATTCTCAATGCTTTGAATAGTGCCGGTCGGGTATAGTGCTGGTGAATTGTCTGGGCACATGCCGATACTAATGCAGGGACCTACAGCAGTACCTCTACTGAACTGCAGTAACGTATCCAACGAGAGCCGCGTGCCGGCGCGCTCCCCAGAACACCTACGTCTACTTCGGAGTATGTTGGGCGAAGGACACCTTAACTTATTGCCGCAGCGATGTGACCTGTATTCTTGTGTCCCAATTTCTTATGTGTATAGTGAATATTGCACATCTTTCACATTTGGCCCTTCTCGAGTACCACATGAAGTGTGTGACTCCACGCCTCGACCCTTTAGCATACACAGATCGATACCAGGGGGAACACGTTCCGTCGCGACTGGCTTGAAACACTGACGTTATGGAGCATGGACAGGCCGCTGGAGCCTGATCCATTGCAGCGGGGCTGCTTCACGGTGTTGTCGGCCTCCATGACTGTGGCGCGCAAGGTTGCTTCGCTTGTGTGCTTGTGATCGCGTGTAAACACATCGTGTGATTAGCGGAGGCTCCGTGAATAATATACGGCTCAACTTATTATGTAAGTGTGATGTGCAACCTAGATTAGTACCTCCGCCAGCAGGCTACGCAGTACGCGGCATTTCAGTTTTTGAGGACGGTATTACGTAGCCGCGTTGATCCAGCGCTCCAAAAAACACTCTGCCGTCCCGCGCTCTTTAAGGCTGATGTGTGGAGGACATGCCAAGTAGAGAGCTTCCTAAAGACGTTGTGAAGCAGGCTCAAACAAGACGAAGCTATTCTCGCACCCTTTTTGCACCCTTTGAAGCCCTGGAGTGTTTGTCTCCAGGTTTCATTTCCGCAGACCAGACCAATCCCGCTGTACATGTCACTTTGGAAAAGATGGTACACAAGTCAAATGAGAAGGCCAGCCTGTACCAATTTTGTGGACCATCGGACAATGTATGCCATGCTTGCAAAACACACAGTGGCAATCTCTATTTTTTTCGCCTTCTGCGCTGACGAGGTGGTCTGAGTAACGGCTCAAAAACATCCAACGGTGTTCAACTCCGATTCCTATGAGCTTCCTGCGTCGATCGCGCTATCGTCCTTTGGATCACCCCTTTTTTTATCGTGGTTATGCTAGAAATCATTCATGTCTGAATACAACACCACACTTCCGACGATCGGTGGGCATCTGTGTCGGCTTCAACGTTGCCTTTATCCAGGACAAGGCAAACAATGTGGCTCTACAGTTTCCTGAAGGGCTCCTGATGTACGCCTGCGTCATTTCAGACATCCTTGAGCAATTCGCCGGGTGCCAGTCCGTGATTCTTGGTGACGTTACGTACGGCGCCTGCTGCATCGACGACCTCACGGCAAAGGCACTGAACTGTGATATGCTAGTCCACTACGGGCACAGCTGCTTGGTGCCGATCGCAGTAACAGCGGTGAAAGTCCTGTACGTATTCGTGGAGATATCCATCGACACCGACCACTTGGCAGAGTGCATCCGACGTACTTTCTCGCGGGTGAGGCTGCACTTGTATTTTTGACCGATGGCACGTAGGAACACATCACTATAATTCCGTATGAAACGTTCGACAGGTGGTCTAAGGTTGTAACTTTGACGTGTGTTTGAGGTGACGAATTGCATTGCTGCCTCGTTCAGAGTGTCAAACCATGAGTGAAGTCTTGTATTTTTCTTTTTTCTTGATGCATCCCATCTAGTGTGGACGCCTGTGAGACTGCACCTTTCAGTGTTATGCGAGCGTCCAAAGCGGAACAAAAGAATGAACAATCTCTTGACAGGAAAACAGGAAAACACCATGCCGAGGGGATCGTTTCTGTTCTTCTTGAGCACCGTGTGCCATACTTATGGCATGACACTGCTGTTCCGGCCACCGTACTACTGTGCAGACGACCCGTCTGGCCGTCATGGGAACTATTCAATTCGCGGGCGCAGTTCACGAAAGTTGTTCACAGCTGGCGGACCATTTCGACGCGGTGGCAGTTCCCCAAGCCAAGCCTCTGTCGCCTGGCGAGGTTCTAGGTTGTACGTCACCCGTGATCGAAGGGAAGGACGCATTGGTGTTTGTGGCTGACGGGCGATTTCATCTTGAGGTGGGTTTTTCTTGGCGTGTTCCGAGTTTGAGCAGTACATAGGCCGCCGAAGATATTATTTTTGGTTTGAACTATCTCGACAAGTCGTATTTATTAGCCAAACCGCGGTGCTTTGATTTGACTACTCATTGGCGGGCTTGAAACACGAAACCGTGTCGACCCTTTGGCATAGCACCTGCGGTTCCCTACGACTGCCCGGTTACGCTGCCAGATAGCTAGGCTGCACGATGACTTGCGCCACTATGTTGCTGTGCTATTCCAGAAACCTGTTGGTGCTTGGTGAGCACTCCATTTTGTACGCTCTCGGGAAGGCCAATAGTTGAAATTCCACGAAACCTTCGATGGTGTGTCAAGCAAAATCCAGGTCTCAGGGACGAAGATTTCCCAACAACGAACGGGCACCCTGGAGTTTGTGTTATAGGAAGACTCGCGGCACCCCCCGGCTTCAAACCTTGGTCATTCCCTTGTAACGTTTACCCAGATATTGTAGCTTGGGGGAAACCCCAAATCGATCCTGAAAGGATTACAGACAAATTCCGATCGTCTCATCTGGCGGCAAGGTGGATCAACAGCCCTGGGTTTCTTCGAGTTGCAGTTTTCCCCCGGACTCGTTTCACACCCCACGCCCTCGATACCTTGGATGCGACAGATGCAACACAGCACCAACCCCCTTTATGTGAGGCCTCCTCATTGCACTAGTTCTTCCGAAGAACTGACCGTCGCATCATACAGCAATGAGAGTCGACAATCCCTCAACGCACTATGCGTTCGAATGACGGTGAAATGCACTGCGGAGAGGTGGTCAGCGAACGTAAATGTGTCTCCATGTATGCGCCCATCTCTGATTGTACGCAATGACTGGCCGCTCTGCATTTCGTCCTTGCTCCCCTACCCCAGTCTGCCATGATCCATAACCCAGGCATGCAGCATTTTCGGTACAACCCATACACGAAGGTGTTGACACGAGAACAGTACGACACGCCCAAGATGCACGACATCCGAAAGTAAGGGTGTCTTAAAAAACAATAGAGGAGGACAGCACGTGACGTTCTTTGTGGCTGACTTGGTTGCCTGTTCACGCCGCCGTTATTGCGCAAGCACAAGCTGTTCAAACCATTCTCCCAGCATGTCAGGAGCGGTATAGAGAAGCTACAACATTCTGAACTTCTCGAACTAGCGCTGAAGTCGGGTGTGGCGTTTCCAGGTGGCTACGGCAAGGAGCTTCCCAAACCGCGTCGACAATGCTTTCCCCTTTTAAGTACAATACGCACTTGTGCTCGTCAATTCTAACACATGGACCTCCCGCAGGCAAGCCATTGAAGTAGCGAGGGGGGCGAAGTCGTTCGGTGTCATCTTGGGAACGCTAGGCCGACAAGGAAACCCCCACATTCTCGAACACCTGATGACCGTACTACGGGCAAGGGGCAAACAGTTCTTCGTCTTGCTTCTTTCGGAAGTATTCCCGGCAAAGGTGCGACGCTAGATCCGGAGGTGCAGATCTGATGATGCTCGCGGGGGCGGTATTTTGGCTTGTGCCATCGAGAGTTTCTCGCGACAAGGAGCATATATGCATTTGTGTGACAGCCACGGCGCCATCTACCCACGTGAACATAACTTCGTATTTGGGTCGAAATACTTGTAACTTCGTATTTGGGTCGAAATACTTGTTGCCACGGAGAACGACAAGAGTTGAGTTTTGATGACTGATGGTTTGACTTTCTGCCACGCATTCGCAACCCCCCGCCGCCCCCTTGCCCATCGCCAGCTGGCAGCTTTTGCAGATGTTGAGGCGTGGATCCAGGTGGCCTGCCCCCGACTCTCTGTGGACTGGGGGCATTTCTTCGACAAAGTGCGTGATAAGTGAAAGAAGATACCAAGATAATGTGTTGCACCGAAGAGAGCATTACACGTGGTTTTGAGCATAGTTCCAAGTGTGCTCAGAATTCTGCTCTGTTCAGCAAATATTGGATTTTCTATTTCCAACGTTGAATGCCTTGTTCGTGTTCCATCTTGTTAGCGGAAAGGTGGTCCACTTATGTTTATGCGTACGGTGCGCGTGTGTGCTGCCGTGTGCATCAATTCACAAGCATCATTGGTCGCTCCGGCGCTCCGGCGATGAAGGTACCGGATGACCGGATACTCGTAAATCTTTCCTAACACCCCGAACCCACTGACGGCGTCTGTTTTTTGGCGTCATTGTCCGTTGCCGCCACCACCGCCGCATCGCACGGTATGACAGCCTCTGCTCAGCCCCTACGAAGCTGACGTCGCCCTGGAAGAAACTGCATGGCGAGATGTCTACCCGATGGACTTTTACGCCAAGGGAAGCGGGGCATGGACCAACATGCACGAAAAGCGGGTGTCGTGACAGAACCGTCCAAACACCCGCCGGTGCAGGGAGAAGTTATCCTTCGCGTCAGCTGCTCCACCGCTTGTTCTCTACATCTTGTCCAAAGGGCGGTTGAATCCACCTGCGTCGAGATCAGTTTGTTTCGTGACGGGTTGGCGTTCAGGTCTGCAGGGAAGTGGAAGTGCGCTCTCCAGTTGCAACGAGTTAAAACTGCATTGTGCGTTGTCGACTTTGACGTACACACGAGAACATGCAGCGGGATGGTATCAAATCCGTGTACACCAAGCAAATATGAATAAAAATAACTACAGTTTGAATCTAAAATACGACTCATTGGCACGTACCTCGTCGATTCATATACTGCCGATACTCTCTTTCCTTGTGCTTCGAGATCGCGCCTTTTGCAGGTCCTCGCTGGTTGTCTTCGACTCCCTTCCCCTTGGTGGTGTCAAACCCCGCAAAACCCATCAACTTCATCATTTGTTGCTCCTGTTTGAGATCGAGAGCGAAGCGCCGTATTGTTCACTCACCACTGGTTGAAGCTTACCTACGTATTGGGGGCTAGCCTTGGCAGTGGGAGATGAACTGCATCATCGTAGCGCACCCCAACCGAACCAACAAGCCAAGGTGTGTACGTGTCCTGTGGCTCAAATCTCTTGTAGGTGCCACCGTAGTGATCGAAAGCTAAAAATGCTCGCCGTTCGTGCTCGCCCAGTGAAACCGCACGGACCCGTGGTAGAGATTCTTCTTCCGGGCAATATATATATGCATCTTACCTCTGTCAAATCCTCATCATCGTCGTCGCCATCGCTTCCACTACCAAGGGCATCCTCCTCGCCTGAGGCATCGCCTGGAAAACACAAGGACTCAACTCAGTTCGTGGGCAAGTATTGCTGCATAACACTTGGTGAAGGTTGCTCTGTCCTTCAATTTCAAGGAACATGACCAAAATTGTCATGCCGTCGACGACGGGATGTGCGTAGCTCACAAATTCCATTGAATCCACGTGGTAAGGGAGTCATGATCAGTGTGCAAGCCGCTAAATACAGCAGTGGCGAAACGGGGGGACCCACATACCTTTCATTTGACGGATCAAATGAAGCCTATCCTTCACTTTGTCCTTCTCTCGCTGCTGCTCCTCCAGCATTTTTTGCCTCTTGATAGCTGCCTCCGCCCTTCGTGCCTCTTGCTTGGAAGGCTTTGATGTCTCGCTCGTCGTTCTACAGCGCGAGCGGGCCGTGTGCACGACGTGTAAGCGGCGACTACGAACATAGAAGCAGGGAGTGGCGGGTTTCTAAAACAAGCACGAGTTCTGCCATGCGCTCCTTCCAAGGTAGAGAGTACAGCATCCCATCTTTACGTCGCAAACGACCGATTGACGTTCAGCTAGACAGTAGTCCGACGGTCCTTCGAGAAGCCCCAGCATGCAGAGATTAACAGAGATTAAAATCTTCCGCTCGTTTTACCAAAGCACGGAACCAGTTGGGGTGCTCCATACCTCATGGAAACACCAAGCCGAAAACGGAAGTCAAGCTGCTAACTTTCACCGCTGGAGGACATGGCACACAGAATTGAGCTGCTGCCGACATACTGGCACACAGGCAAGGCTAGAGCGATGGGGCTCGGTCCCCGAGCAAGCGCCGCACATCAGCGCCTCTCCACTCTCCGCCCCGGTGTGCTCGTTACCAGAGGTAAACTCACGCTTTTGACTTGTCCACCTTGCCGGACGTGTCCCTGCCAGCGGCATCCTTGCCAGCAGCGTCCTTGCCTCCATCCTCCCGGAAGTGTCTTCGAGGTGGGCTAAGGATCGCAAGTCAACGGAGATAGGGCACGCAAGGGTGTAATCTACAAGTTACAGCCGTCGTGTCTTGTGCTTCTTGCTGTAGAGCCTAGAGGTTCACAGGGTGCAGGGTGTTCCGCTGATGTGTGGATGCAAACCGGCAGCCGCACACCAACAAGGTCAATACCAACACAGCACGACGGCCAAGTACCTCTACTTCCCCTCAGATCACACCTTCGCTTCCGGCTGCTTCTGTCCTGGTCGCGGTCGCGGCGTCTTCCGCCTCGGTCACGATCTCGATCTCCGCGGCCCCTCTCTTCTCGCCCTCCCCTTTCGCGGCTGCGGCTGCGACTTCGGCTACGTCCCATGACAAACTTTGTGCGGTCTGTCAGGGGTCGGTATACCCTCTGCCCGTGTGGAAAAACGAACAACAGCTGTCAGTTGGTATGTACAGCAGTAGCAGCAGCCGGCGGCGGGGAAGAGGGGAACGCTTCGAGGAGTTGAGTAAATAAGAAGGCGTCAGCTATCAATGATCGTTTCGCGGGGATGATAATCCTGCGATATCGTTGTGTACTAGAGAACACGCCATCAAGCAAGTAAATAATACTGATTGCGATTGGTCTGTTGCCTTGTGTTGTGTGATCGTCACCAAATATAGACACCTGGCAACAAGCTTAGTGCATGATGTACACCCTGCTGCCCGCATATAAACGTCGGTGGTGGCAGATGACACTCCAAATTTTGGAGTGAGTACATCAGCCCCGTTGTTCTCGAGACAACAAAGCCTACGCCTTCCAGACAAGGAGCATCGGAATGAACCTTTTCGCTCTATGTATATGCTCTCGCCGCATCCTGGAGTGCCCTGTCTCCGACGGACACACACAGGGGCCGTTTGCACGCATGTAGATAAACTAATCGTTCTACCAGAGGGAGGGACAAACAGGTGCACCGAACCAGCTCTCATTTGATGATAGACACGAAGAGGCTTCAAACGAAGCTTTGAAAGTAGACAGCAGTAGTTAAAAAAATGTATATTTAAATTGCCCTTGTACCAACAACGTTCTCAGTTTGAAGCTACGCCCGTCATGCGGCAGCGTGTTCCATTAAATGTCCACACACAAACAGTTGCCGTCGCCTCACACCATTGAACATTCAGAGGTGGAAAGACCCATAACGCCATTCATTGAATGAACCACCTATGCGCGAGACGGCGATGCCTTTCACAAGCGCAGCTTTCCCTTCGACGGTGCGGCAGCCCAAAAAACTCATCAATATGTGGGTGCCAGTAACAACGCCGTGTTCTTCTCGCTCCATACCGTTCCGAATACAGTGGGATTTACTATCGGTTGGAAAACATGTTGTCCTGCCTCCTGAGACAGTCCTTCAGGTCGCGTGACCGATGATCGACGTTCAGGTACGAGGTGAGCGACTCTTCAAGGCGAAGGAGAGCCTCGTTGTTGCCGGCCGTATCCGCTGCCCGGTAGTCAGAGTTCAGGAGCTCGCTGAAAATTTTATCCCAGAGATCCACCTCCCAATATCTGCATCATTCAGAACGGGACGTGCGTAGTTTGTGGCAGTATTCTCAGTTTCACGGACCCAAGGAAATTGGCGTGCCTCCTATTTTGCTTATATCGATCGAGCTGCGAAGAAATTTGTTGAACCAGATGAATGAACCACACCATCGGTGGCTTTACATGAACTGATCTGTACGCCTGTGGACACTTTTGTTGGTGCCTTTCTGGATTGGGCCGCCAGCAAATCTCGCACGACGTTCATCACACATCACGAACGCCCCCTAGAAACTGCCGGCGGTTTTCTCGCGATACCCGGTAAACTCTGTAACACTCATCCAAAAAGACCAAACACGCGGACCAACGAGAACAAGTTGATGCCTTACAGGTGTTTTACTGAGCTCGCACCCTCGCTTTACCCAACATGATGTGCTTAAAGCTTCCCCGTTGTGCGTCCCCCCCATTCTAGCGACGTTAGATGCTAGGGTAAACGAGAGACGTGAGCCTCGAGAAAAAGAAAGAACAGATTGGATACCGTAGCATCTTTTTGTCCTACCCCCGCGGGGAGCACGAAAAGTGCATGCAATATTGTAATGTTTTGTTACGGAGCAAGGCCCTTACAGGCAACGTTCAGTTTGAGAAAAAAATCGCAATAGGTTTATGCTCGGGATTGAGACAAACGGTATCACCGTAGCATACTCACATAGAAATCGACTATTGACAACGAAGACTTGGAGCAGTTCGGTGAACAATCCGACACACAACACACAACACAACTAGCCTGGTCAATCGTATGTGGTCTGGCCCAGTCTAACAGCTCGTTGGAGACAACAGCTCACCGTTTGCAGTTCTTGACTGGTCGCCATCGCCCCGATCTGTTTAGGGTGGAGTCGTCTTCTCGTTCGCGAGACACTTCGAGATACACACCGTGCAGCATGAAGTACATGCAGCTGCCTAGAGCGTAGAGATCGGCATCATGCTTCCAAGCCAGGCCCTACGTTCGCCAAGAAAAATGTTGTCGTTAGCGTACACTACTCCAGAGATCGAGCGATGGATGGAAAAGGGCAGACGGCTGAGCTGAAAGGGTTTTGAAGAGCGCGACGTGACGGAGAACACATACCTCCCTCATCGCCGGGCATGAAAAGCTCGGAGCGCAGCACTGCCCCATGAATGCCATATCCGATCCATTCTGGGGAAAAACCGAGAGATCGATCGCTCTTCCAAAATCGATCAAAGACACGGAATGGTCTATGCCCCCAGCATGTTCCATCTCCTCCGTGCGGTCCACTTCACTGCGGGGGCGACGTACCAGCAGCCAGTTGTCCGGTTTGATGTCCATGTGCAGGATTGATGCCGAGTGCATTGCTCGACAAAAGCGCAGCATCTGCGCCACCACACCAAAAAAGAAAGGTTGACCATTCACGTATACAAGGTTACCAGTGGTGTTGGGTCATGCGTTGCAAAGCCGAGACAATTGGCTCCGTTCGCAAGTACAGGCGTGGGCGACCGAGGACAGTGACAATCCACAACTTGATCCGAAATTGGCCCATCCAACAGCACGGGCCATAAATGAAGAATGGTGCGCGAGTTGCTGTCACCAAGGTCGACCGACCAAGTCAAGGTTCTTACCTCTACTGCATAGTGCATTGCAACGAGCTGCGGCACGGCCTGTGCTCTTTTCGAGTATTGTGCGACAAGATCGTGAAGCGTGCCAGCCAGACCCACAGGCATGGCCATCGCGCATCCATCGCGGTACAAGAAAAGAGCTTCGGGTTTAACCACCTGGAAAGTAAAGTCAAAAGCAAGTGAACAAGAATGATCAGCTCGAGTCCACAAGCATCTAGGAATGCCAAATGTTGATAGACCTGCACCCGTTTTGCAAAAGCCTTACCGTTATTGGCGCCTCGGTAACGCTGTGGACCTTCCTCTGGCGACGATGCAACAGTCGCTCGCTCAGTTGGAGTGTGATGAAGCACTCCCACGGAAGTGATGGTGCATCTTCCTTGGGGATTCAGAGAGAACCAGAAGCAGTAGTATTGTCAGGAAAAGGGCGGGCATGCCATATATTCTGCTTCGTGTGGGACCTCTTGAAGCCCAAGAACGCGAATAGGAGGACACATGAGGGCTCGTACTCACTTTATACTCCACTTTTACTGCCACGTCGCGTTGGTCCTTGTTGAACTTGCAAGAAAATACCACGGCGAAAGCTCCCTCTCCAAGTACTCCCAGCACATTGATCCTTTGGTTTCCGAGCGACCTTGCCAATGCGACCGGTCGACGTGAGCCAACATTCACCTTGGCCATCCGGCGTGGACATACTCTTGCCAAGCTGTCGAGCCTGTCGCCGCCCATACAACAGCATCAATATGACTTCGATTAAATCGTAAATGCGGCCATCATGCACTTTTCTACGCTGACATGTACACTGAAATGTTCAACAGCCACCAGTCAGTTCGCTCACTGCTGGCGCTGTTGTCGCTGCTGCTGCACAGGTCTATTGCATCGAACGGGGGTCTCTGGCAGTAGCCGGACAACGCGTACCTAGCCTTCTCCTGGCGTTCTACACGGAACACTACAGGCCAAGGCATATATGCGCATTCAGAGAAACCTCAAGCTTAAGAGTCTTGCCTAGTATCATACACTATGCTGGAAGAGCTGGCCCAGCAAAGGTACTGCGCGGTGTTGGTTGTGAGGCGTCTTCGCATGTCCGGAGAGAACGGATTACAAATTAGTGTGGCAATCGCAGTTGCGATGGTGGCCTTCTTGTCGGTTTCCACGCGAGGCCGTGGCAGCCTGTCTGGCCTGTTCCTCGTAGAGCACTCCTGACGCCTCAGCGCGGCTCCATCGTGGGAATTGACATCTCTAGCTCCGAGGGGGGCATCTACAGGCCTGCATCTTGAGCCACAAGCACCTCCACCACCAGTGCAAAAATTTTCGATCCCTTCGATTGGCTCGCGCTCGCTGATGTTTGGCTGGTCTGGTGCGTGCTCGCGTTGCGCATGAGCCGCGGTTTGGGACTGCTTCGCGCGCAGCATGGCTTGTTCACTGCTGCGAGTAGAGGCGAGGTCGATCTCCTCCTTGACTTCACTTATCCGCGAATCTAGACCCACCATTCGCATCCTCTCCAGCATCCTTTCGTGAAAGGAGCGTAGAAATTCTTCAAAAAGAGACACAGGTTGGGCACCCCTGCACAATCCACGAAAGGTGCGAGGACAGCAGTTGGTCAGTGATGTTGGTGTTGCGTAATATGTCTCCATCACGTGGGCCAACTTGGAACAGGTGTACGCTGGATGTGGATGCGCACATGCACTTCCCTTGGCCCCACTTGGTTTAGGTGTCGGAAAGGATAAGCGCGATAGTAAATTCAGAGTACGACTCACCAAGCACGGCCCTCTGCTATTATCAGGGCCACCCTCTCGTATGCTTCAGCCATCTCGAGAACGTACGCCCAAGCTGCCCAAAACAAGGATAATTGCGTGCCGATACCCTCCGACTTCAGCAGTAGAAACACTTTATCGGCATCGTCGGATAGGTCGGCCTGCGTATCGCAATGTGTGGTATGGCGCATGTCGAGTTAAGCGCACCCGGCAGGTGTCAAGGGGCGGAGAAGAAGCAAGTCTATCAAACGCATACTTGTATGCATATCATGTCTATTTAGTCGTGGAATACATGTTCTACCCATAACGGTCCACGCAGCAATTGATCGTCCACACGTCCACATACATGAACCAGACACGAATACGAACGCATACCGTAGGTTGCATAAGATATCACACCCCTGGCCCGATTTTCAAAGCTCGATTGCTCGGCAGGAAAAGCAGTGACGGCGCCGAAAATGGCGGGAGGCGTTGGAACGGTCTCGTCGAGAGCTTTCTGACAACGTCTCCTTTGATATCAGCATCCTCTTACGCGTGGAGTATTGAAGCTTTGAAAATCGCATCAAAATTCTACACAGAACCGCGCATCAAAACTTACGTAGCGCATCCAGAGCTTAAGGTATCGCTCGTCGTTGCGGTAGCGCTGGTCGGTCTGGAAGCGTTCCAGGATCTCCGACAACGCCTCCTTTAGGTCGCTGCTCGTGGTGCTTGTGGAATCTAAATGCAGGAAAGTGCTGAAGGGGGCGCAGGCAGTGTGGATCGCAAGAATTTGATCTAACATACTATTAATAGGAAACATAAATACAAACACAGAAAGACTACACATTCGAGATAAGACCACAGCAGTCAACGGGATGTGTTGAAGTCTTTACAGTAGTGACTGGAGGGACGCCAAATACTGCTGTAGTTACGGACACAGCTTGCATGGAGATGCTTGGTTATAATGCGCACACATGGCAAAAAAGCGTTGTACATACCTACCTACATACCAAGAGCTTGAGATAAGAAGCAATGAAGCTGCGGGTCATCAGCAAGATACGGTTGGTTGTGCCTTGTTTTCAGTTTTTCATGGACTCCTGCTGTGTACAGCAGGAGTGAAATTTGATTTGAACCAAAAAGGCCCAACGTGCACATACCTCATCGATTTCGCCAGGGGGTCGTGGCCTCCGTGGTTGGCATCACAATCATGCATGGTCATCGGTTGAATCGCTGTCCTTCTTCTGTTAGTCTCACCGTTCCCGTATCTTCATTGCACTCACGAGGTAGGGTAAAAAGCGTGACTACTGCTACCTGCTACATAGTCGTCAAGCTTGACAAGGGCTCGAGGTAGAGGGGATGCGCAGACAGCGGATTTTAAGATTACGCGTACACAACATCTACAATCGCATCGCTGATCGTGGCAGCTAAAATAGGGCATCAGGCAACTAAATACCACTGCCGTTGCGTAGTTAGTAGTTACCTGCTGAGCACATTGTGTACAGGGGATGGTCGCGGTATCAGACCAATGGGAAGAGCTGCTTGGATCAGCTGTGCAGAAGAAGGTCGTCGTTGATGGATACGGCGAGTCGCCTGATCTCGGGAGTCTTGTGCTGTTTACATGGACAGGGTCCCCCTTGCTCGACAACGGGACGACGACGGGGGTAGCCTTTGCTCACAGAGAGAGGGCAAGTGCTAGGATAGGAGATGCAGACGAAATTCCAGGTGCCAGTTTTTTGTTGAGAGGAGCTAAAAAAATTCAATCACAACACGTGTTTGGTTGAAGTTGTAGGACCGCCCTTGTCAATGCTTGTGGTATGCATAAAATCGGCGGATGTACTGCTGTAGTGTAGTGCTGTACACTCATGTTGTCGGCGGAACACTGATGTTTGTAAAGGTTGCGTCGAACCGCGAAAGCTTTAAGCTCGTGTTCAATTACACCAACACATGGCATCTGGAGGTAGCGTCGATGTCAGCACGTGGAATCTCTGTATTGAAGTACAACTTCTCCTCGGGGAAATCTCGCCGAGACAGCGCAATGTGGACATACATGTAAATACTGCTGTACCCCTAAACCCCCAGAACAGGGGTTTTGATGCTGGCTCTTTTCTCATACTTTAATCCAACATAAGAAAGAAAACAACCTTCCCGCAAGGAGGTACCTGGTAATTATTACTGTTATCAGTAGAGGACACCATGAAGAGGCGCACGAGCTACTGCTGTAAGCGCACAGTTCAGGAGATTGGGGTCCGTGGCGGTGAGCACGGCTGTGACAAATGTTGGATGCCGCTTGGTTCCGGCGCAGATTTCGGACTGTTTTCTGAGACTGCTGCAACCTTCGATATTTCAGCTCCAGTAGCAAACCTGAACGTGCCAGCACGCACGAAGCCTCTTCATGGTGTCCTCTACTGATAACAGCACTAATTACCAGGTACCTGTCAACACAGACCTTATTTGAACGCCTGCCGTTTTGGCTCTTTTGACTTCAAATTAGAATGGGGCGAATTTTTTCTTGATTTCAAAGGGGGCGTGCGGAGGTAGACGCGTGAAATGTATGTTTTTAGCAGCCTCTACTGTCGCCCTGTGCGGGATTCAACGATTTCTGTTTTTTGCGATGCCTCCCGACCGGTCTTGTGTGTCTGTTGTACAGTTTCTGGTGCTCTTGCGTGTGTTTTCAAAATTAGTCAACATCGAACTTGCTGTTCTGGGGGCCCTTAATAGCAAGGGTCCCTCCATGTGGAAACCGTGGAACACCCCCCCCCCGGGGGCCAAGATTGACAAGCAGGATAGCCACTTTAGGCGGCTCACTTGCAGCAGTCTGTTGTATAGGATTTAGTGTGTCCATAGTAAAACCAATATACTCATTGAATAGACTAGGATTAAAACCATAAAATCCTCTTAATTTGTAGGCTTTCGTGTCGTCATACTATTTCCTACACCATACACTAGACCCCTCCTCGCGACCAAGATTGACGCGTATTCTTGGGGTGTTTCCATAATTTCCACTAGCTCTGTGTGGAATCCCGCGCGCGCGCGCTGAGAAAATGCCCGAAAAATGTCGAAACCCCGGGGATTATGTCAAAATGCCCCCCCCGGGGACATTCAAGGCCTATCCCCCCCCCTCCCGCGACCAAGCATGACACTTACCCTGGGGTGTTCCAATGTTTCCACATGGAGGTACCCTTGCTAAGGATTGTTGTATGATATGCATACAATACAAGGTCTCCAGGCTCGGGCGCCAGGCGCCCTGGCCTTCAGGGTTAGGCTGAAGGATAAGTAAGTGTGGTGCGTGCGAAGACTGTGCACAGCATACCAAGGGCACGAAGCTGGCAAAGAAAGACGTTCCGACTACAAAATAAAAAATGGTTGCGACATGACGGAAAATTCTCAAAAGGTTCAGAAAAAAAATGTTGGAACTATCTTTCTTTGTGCTATCTACTGCAGGCAGAGGGTATTTAGCCTTCATTTTTTCCTTGCGCTTGCATAATAAATACTCCAGAAGTAGTGTTACATTCGGGGTATATCATTCAAAAGGTCCCCACTAAATGTTGGAACTTTGCTGTGGGCCGCAATTTTTCTGCGTTTGGAATGAATACAATTGCAGCAACTATTTGCGACATAAAGAAAGACGGAAAATATTTGAACGTCTTGTACTTACCTTCAACCCTCGCAGTGACCGTATCCATCCATAATTGACTGCCCCATCATCACCCTCCAGGTTGCATGTAGTATACTCGCTCGCTCGCTCGCTAGTACAAAATACTTGTACGGATCAGGTCCGCATTATGTACAGCAGTATCATCAGTATTCTGTTTTGAATTTTTCGTACATAAAAAAAGTTACAGATTAATAATATAAGTATCGTGACTGAATTTGGTTTGGAGTTTAGGTCCGCAAACTCGAGTACCACTGATGTGTCGCAGATATACTCAGGTGAGTCCGCACCGTGACCCTATCGGGAAGGTTTGGGTGGCCCTACTCTACTGCTGTTAGTGTTGTTGTGTGTGTGAGTTAGTTGTGCTGGAAATAAAGAAATGTTGCACTTACTTACGGATGGATTCAGTCAGGTGGGTCCGCTCTCCACCGGTACCCTACTAACTGCTATTGTTGTTACCTGTTGCTGTGTTGCAAGAAGACTACCAGCAGTAAAAATCTATGGATGAGCTCCGGCATTAACTCGTTGGAACGGAACACACACACACACACACACACCTTTTTGGTCAGGTTGGTGAAGATTTAGAAGTAAGGGTCGTTCTTAACGAAGAAATCAGATCTCGAAATCACATTTCGATATAAGAATAAAAGAGTCGGATCTACCCAAATCCAGACAGAAATGGCCTGTGTCTTAACGGGAGATCTGCCAAATGGAAACGAATCTCTGCAGTCCACCACGAACAACCCGAGAGGTCCGCCGCTTGCCAACTGCCAGATTGCTGTTGTGACGTACTGTTAGGACGTGGCCGCACCACATGGGGAGCTATCGCTCCCGAGAAGCACACACCAAACGCGTACATGGCCTCTGTGCGGTACTGACACGATGTCCATGCATGTGACACTTTGAATCGACCCTCGTCCGACGGAAAGCCGCCAATTCGTCTGTGCATTTTTGAAGTTCGACAACCCACGGGAGACTGCCCCACAGACCAACACATCCCACACACGTTTTTTTTCGGGACCAGTCACGTGCAACAGCGATACGCAGTCACCCTCCCTTTGGGTTGGCTTTTTGCGCTCTTTCTTTCCTCTGTGCTTGGCGGTGGATGGAGTTCGTGTGGATGGGGGTAGGTGGGCACGCGCCGTGTATACGAGTAGACCGTGGTCCCGCAACTATGGACGCTGTTCACCCAAATCGGGATCCGATTAAATGATTACACCTGATTTCAAATCCCGATTTGGTTTTGAGTCGTCCTGTTGTAAGTCCTGAAGATTCGACGGGTTCCATAACATTTCAGCCAATCAACGAAAGAGTTATGTGGATCTTCCGGTCTTATAACCAAATCTGAATATGATTTCGAGATCTGATTTCTTCGTTAAGACCGACCCTAAGTAGTGTGATCTTTGGAAAATTCTTTGGAGCAGGACAAAGCAGGGACTCTGTGGTCGGCAGCTGGTGGTCGGTCATGGTTGAATGAGTTGACGTTCTCCAACAAAGTCTTGACCAACCAGCTGAGGGTTTCTTGAGAAGTGACAGTCTCCGGTTGCAGGAGATTGACGCGTTATTCACGGTGCTGTAACTCGGCCCGCACTTGGAGTCTCGAGCTCGCGACAGGGGCGCTGTGATCGTGAGATTGGCACACCCACGTCGGCGAAGACGGCCGAAAAAAATGTTTAAACCCCATCTAAAAACAATTAAAACCGGTTTATAGCACGGCAACGTCTAGCTCAATGACTGAAACAGTGGTTGCGTGCATTCACCGTGCTGTAACTCTACTCGCCTTTGGAGTTTCGAGCTCGCGACAGGGGCGCTGTGATCCAGAGACTGGCCCGCTGCAGCGGGCAACAGCCAGCGAAAAAGAAAGTCTCAAGGCGCCCGCGGACTGATGCACCGAAAAAAACTTCTTGATTTTAGAGTGCTACAATAGTTGAACTCTTGCGTCTCAGACTTCCGACAGATGTTAGTTAGTCTATGCATACTTCGGACCAGTGTAAGGGACACATCCCCTGGGACGATAGAAGTACATTATGACACCCTATCCGTCTAGCAATAGGTATCGATTGAACGTGGAGCGTCCTATCGTCACGTACCGTAGGTATCGATCGCACTACGGCATCCTTTCGATCAAGCAATAGGTTTGGATCGACAAAACTATGAGCCTATATTGATGTAATACGTAGCTATGATATTGTAGAATTACAATATGCGAACATGCTGGCATTCCCAAACCTATCGCGTAACGCAATACGTATCGATCTCACGACGATACCTATCGATAGGCGACACGCCTCGCCTATCGACATTCCAAAGACCATTAAATAGGCTATGGTCCGTGGTGTGGGGACATGCTCGTCAAAGCCCCGGTGCCTTCCTCCGCCGGCTCAGTATTGACTTTCAGAGGGCACCTAGCAGGTACACGCATCTGTGGTAACATCCACGCCTGACATGGCTCGCACCCCCATGGCGCGGGGCTACTGCAGTAGATTGGTTCCATTGGGAATTCTTCTCTCAGCTGTCCACATGTACATGCCGTAGGTTGCATAAGATAACCACACCCAACCCTAGACCGAATTTCAAACCTCTCATGTTCCATGACGAAGAGGAAGCCGAGATCAAATGATGCATTTTCGGAAAACTCTCGACGAGACAGTTCCAATGACGTCATTTCCGGGACCGCCACTGTTTTTCCTACAAGCAGTAAAGCAACGAAAATTGGTCCAGGGGGTGTGATAGCAACCTACGATATATTGTAGCTGCACGTCGATGTGCTGCACTTCGCAGCCTACGGTTGTACAACAGGCAGAATCGTATGCATTCCTCTTCGGAGTGCATATGACGAGCACATTCGCAGTTTTTGTTCTTGACGGCCGCCTCGGGCTTCATTTCCTTCTGTTCGACTGAAAAATGCATCCATACCCGCACTCTTTGAGCTCGAACGAAAACAAGGGAAGATCGGATGGCTTGTGTGGTACCCGGTATGCATTTTGTACAGCTGGTGCAAAGGTGTTCGATGGCGACACTTGTTTTCTGCTGCGGCCAGAAGAAGCAGTAGCAAACCGCCGTTTTGTCATCTTGGTTTTAATGAGAAATCCGATCGGCAGTTTATCAACCGAAAGGTACTCCACTTCGTATGCATACGTTGTTCCTAAGAAGCAGTCCACGCTCTCAAGGTCGTTGGAGGTTGATACTCGTTTCACGTTTCCACGGATTGGAGATTACGTCTCCCCAAGTAATCAAGTGAAAACAGTGTTACACCCAGCCGGCCTGACCAGGTGTACTCACCTTTCGTGTGGCAATCACTTGAGGAAGCTGGTATTAGGAATTCAGTGTACGAGGGGCATCAATATGAGGAACACCTGCTGCTGCCGCACGCGTACAGCATTTTTTTCAGCACTCCTGTTCTCTTTCCGGCGACGGTAAAACCCTTTTCCAACTACAGAAAACGTGGTAGGCTTAATCCAGATGAATTGAACTAAGCGTTGCCCTCCGTGGTCGAAGCGCACAAAATACTGTTACAAGGTTTTGCTGTGTTATTTTCGCAATGCACGAACGTACCCTCCAGCCACACACAAAACCCTGTCAGTTAGCCTCGTGCCTGCCTCAACTCACTCTAGAATGCTTGCCTTCGAGTGGCTCTTGTTTTTTTTATTAACCATTGGCAGTGATCGTTCGCTACTTTGCGCCATTTTCGTTGGTGCTACATCTCGGTCCTCCGTTTTTATCAGGCGTGGAGCTTGGTCTTCGACATATGCGAGTAGGGCAGCAATGCCTGGTTCGATGTGAGGCGAGATTCGCTTACGGAGGATTGGGTTGCCCAGCGACAAAAGCAGGGGATACAGATCTTCCTCCGGACACAGATATCGAGGTCCGGCTCGAACTTCTATCAATTCTCCCCTCCACGCCTGTGCCAGATATGTCTCCTGAAGAGATCTGCGCGGAAGGGGAGCGCAAGAAGTTGGTAGGGAATGGGCACTTCGAGCGCACAGCGTACAAGAAAGCCCTTCGTGCGTACACAGCAGCGGCCAACGCTGTTGCAGAACTGGAGTTCCCCACCGGAGATTCGGATACGTTTCGTGAGGCTCGCCGACTCAGAATCGACTGCGGCAATAACATTGCGATGACGTGCTATCGATTGGGCGAGCTGGAAAAGGCGAAAGAGGCTGCTGTGGGTGTGTTGGAAGAAGATCCAACTAACGTCAAGGCCCTTTTTCGCGCTGGTCAGGTATCTTCTCTCCAGTCCAACTTCATTGAAGCAAGAATAGCCCTTGAGAAGGCTCGCGAGCTAAACCCGCGTTCTAAGGCGATTCAGGCGGAGCTAGGCCGCTTGGCGGCCCGCATCAAGTCATACAAAGCAAAACGACAGGCTATGCAAGAAACGATGGGCCGTAGTTTGTTTGAGGGGTCCAAAGCCCCACCGGGGCCGAAGAGGGTGTGTGAAATCGAGGGCGATGAGGCTCCTGCTCCCACTCTGGCGAATTCGATTTGGGCGGAAGCCGTTAGTTGTGATGCGGCAGGCCAGGTAGCGGGAAAAGGGGCTGGTGTCGCTATCGAAACCGATGCAGGAGAGAAGATGCGATCAGCGGTGCCCTTCGATGTACAACGATGCCGAGGACTTCGGGTATACGTTCTTATTGCCCTGGCTGCATGGGGTGGCATGCATGTTGCAGCACGCGTGGGTCTCACCTCGATTTATGCTTGAGGTTAGCCTGGGGTTGCTAGTTGGTGGCCAGAATTGTCACGAAGGACTCGTCGTGCTGATTGTCATTGTTGAAAGCACGCCTACGAATATCGTCGGCGTTGCTAGTCCCAAGTTGGCTTATTTTTTTTGCTGATTGTTTCGGGCTTGAAAACGGAAGCGGGGACGGATTCCAAGGCTTGTAAGCGTTATAACAGTTGCAACCACAAAAGACCTTCGTTTGTCTCTTCTGTCGGGTCCTTCGTTCAAGAACAACCAGGTGAGCAGGCTCAGGCCGCAGTTATGTACCGACACTATGTGTTTTACTGTGACAAGGATTCCTATGAAAATATAATATACCAGTATACAGTACGGGCCCGCAATTTAGAAAAATTCCGTCAAGAAAGAAAGGCTCAACTTGTTACGAAAATAAGAAAAAAGGAGTAAGAAACACACCTCAATCTCGGCCACAACATAAGAAACGTCCCAATAAGAACAGGATCGTGCGATACCCCCAATACATGAGAAACAAGGGTTGCTGGGGGAGTGTTTCCAATAAGAAACGTTCCACTGCTCTTTCCGCCGTGCTCCCACCCCCCTAGCGGGACAACGTTTTTTTCGTAGGGGGGGAGAGTGATTGTTGGCGCTGCCCCCCCCGCCTCCGCGCTATTAAGCTGCTCGGCGCCTCCGCGGGTTGCTTTACCCACTGCTGCATGAATGTTTGGTGTTTGTTGTTGCATGCATATTCTAAGCCAGAAATTAAAGAAAACGAGAAATAACAGAATCAGGAGGATGCGACAGCCCAAAGGATATAAGGAATGCCTTTGAAGAAAATGGACGCCTTCGGCTGGTCTTTCGACGCAACATAAGGGATTGAGCCTCGACCCGATTTTGACGTTTCTTATTTCCGGGCCCGTACTGTATTTGGTCAAGACATAACCGCTTGCGTGAATGCAATCAACGCCAAAATCCTGTTACGCCATATCGTCACGACACCTTTGTCTCTCGATGTTACTGTGCTTTGCTGGACCAGACAAGATGTTTTCCGAAGCCACTTAGCGGTCCGAGTTCAAAAAAGGCTCTATGATTTTGCGAGCGTTGTTCGCCGTTCCGTATGGCACCCTCTCTCTCGCGGCGGGGCACAAGAGAAAAGGGAGCAGGCTTCAAAAGAGGCCGGACCTACCACTGGGCTATTAGCGAAAGATACCCCCAAGTGTCTACATGGCCACAAACCAGTTTTGAATCGCACAATCAACACACCTCAACTGGATGCGCCAGCTGTACCTGGTCACATCGGGGATCTAGGAACGAAGAGGCATTCATGGTGCACAAGCTAGGGAACGAGCGTTCCATATCAACTACACTTTCGACCTTTTTTTTGCAAAGACTACACTTCGCCAGATTGTCGATCTACACGCTGACCAATCCTATGCGGCACTGGCCAAAGCATTTCAACATCGCACTTTGCCCCAAAGTAAGACATTCATCAACCAGAGAACAACCACCGGATTATCCTAGGTACTATTTACAGCTTTTGTCATCCTACCTAGCCGAATCTTTCTTTAGCCTATCGAGAAGCTTCCAACCTTTGCGTCCTTTAGCTCCGTTCACGGCGTTATCTACTCGCTGCCAGACCAGAGATCCGCCAGACACAAGCGTTGGAAGACCCACAAATAGAACTTTCTCTATGAGCAAGGCGAAGACGTCCAAGAACTTCAAACCAACTCTAGCAGGGTCCGACACATCGTCTTCCATTTCAGCCTCGACATCCACAAACGAGCTTGATTCATCCACCACAAGCTCAATGCTGGATTCCTCGGAAGCCATGGTCGTGCGTTCTGCCGACAAGGATCCTTTTCGGGACAATCCCCCGTCTCTAGAACGCCGTGAGCTATTTTCATCCCGTGATGTTGCAGCGGAGCCCCCTCTGACCGGAGCTTCGTCTACTACTACGGCATCGACGACCTCGGCGCTCTTGACAGATTGATCGAGGTCAACTACCATATCAGCTTCTGTGGTCTGCACTGTCGTCGATTCGCCAGCGACCGGGGTGATGTCCGGTGAGGCGGTCATCGGGGGCGTGAGCTTGATATCATGGTCCGCTTGCGATCGGCCAGGAAAACTCGGTGTTGGCGCTGCTGTCACGCCGCGCTCCACCGGTGCCACACTTGCCTGCTGGTCGCCGCCTTCCATATCGCGGGCTGCCTCATCTTCCACTGCTCTCAATCGCTCTCTATCGCCCTCCCCTGCCCGAACCTCTGCTCCAGTCGCTCTTGCAAACTCTTTCCGCCCAACCTTGCTAGGCACCCCCATGGTAGACGTAGTAGAATCCTGAATCTCCTGTATTCTCGTCAACTCCAGACGAACGCTGTCTGATGTGCTCGCTCGTTTCCCGGTGCCCTCTACAGCAGCAGCTTTCCATAACCGACAGGCGGCCACTAGAGCATACTCATGTGCATGCCCCGCCTCATCTCGGGCTCGCTCGGCTGATTCTCGCCAGACGACGTCCAGTCGTCCCCCCACTGCCTTAGCCTCTTCATGGCCAGCAACCACTTCGCCGTCGAATGACTGCAGCAAACCTATCGTTCTTGAGGACAGCTCCACCTGTGCTGCCCTCGAGCTGTCCTGAATACCGCCCAAGCCTCTGGTCTCTAGCACCCTTGATTTTATGGTCTCCAGCCGCGCAATCCTGTCACAAAAGAAACGATGGCAAGGAAGCGTACATGTTCAGTTACCGAGAGTTTGACATGGCATGAGGCATGTTCGGGTTGTACTCCCTCAGGTGGTAGCCCACGGCGTTATCCTCGCAGTTCTACGGGCTACTTCGAAAAAAATCCTTGCAGGTCTACCTTGATAGCATCAAATCTAGGAAACAGCGCCCAACACGAGTCTCGGAATAGGTCCATGAGCATATCGTGAGAAACGTCTACGAGCTTCTTACGCTACTACGCGAATTCAATTTTTTAAGCCTCTAAGAGTAATCGCCGTGCCTGACAGTTTCCCCTCCGATGTAAGCCTCCAAGCAGACCGCCAGCTCGACGACATTGGCTGACAAAACCTCCAGTCGCCTGAGGTACGTCTCTGCCGCTTCAACCGCTTCACTCATCTCAGCGAGGACATACATTTGCTGGACATTGCGTGTCACGTTCTTGAGTTCCTCGAGAAGGACCGCTTCCCTTTCCAGAGCCTCCTCAAGTCCGGCGATAACCGGTTCAGTAGCGCACAGTACCGCGTTTGCTGCCCGCACGCCTCGCTCTTGCAATTGCACCTCGTTACCGATGGAATCTACGCACTTCGACAGCTGCTTGGTAAATACATCGGGCTGCGAGGCCAGCATCTCAGCCAGGGCACGCTCTGTTGATGAAATCCCCCCCCCCTGGGCGTCGACTCCTTTCCGTTCAAACCGATCAAACACGCCGACAGGGTCCGGCGCAGGCGTCATCGCCTCCCGTCGCGCAGAAACCTCTTGCACCAGCGGTTCAACAACGGCGGGCGTTGTTTCTAGGCGTCTTGACCCAAGGATCCTCGAAGGCGATGAATTTGCAGCCAAAGACGCGTCAGATGCTTCCAAACGTTTTCCCGCCGAACCGCTAGGTGTACGTCCGAGTAGGAGACCATTGCGCTTAGCTTCTGGAAGTGAAAGGCCGATCGGCTTGAGGAGCTTGTTTGCACGGCTCCCGGCACGCTCGTACTTCACCTGCGACGCCGCAAAGAGGCGAGCATATTGTTGTTCGTGCCATTACGGACGAGTCGGGGGCTCGAGCCCGCTTTCAAATTTGGCCTTCGTTCTCGCTGAGAAGCGCCTAGATAAAGAACGAAGCGGCCTCACCTCTTGTTCCACCTCGTACGCCAGATCTGAGGCTTTGTTGATGGTGGATGGAAGCGATCCCAGGAGCCTCGCCGGTAGTGGCTTCGACCTGCGACGGCGCTGCAAGAAAATGGAGGCCCACGTAAAGACGGTTTCGACAACACAAACAAATAGTCCACACACAAAGAACTGCTAGATACTGGCACAGGAGCGAGGGTGTGTTGGCATTGGTTTCAAGGAGTTTGACTCGTCGGCAATTCGTGGGTTTCCAGTGTCCAACCATTGCTTATTCTGAATTTATCCTGCGGACATTGGGGCAGGAAAAACAACGACCAGCTCACCCGCAACTGTAGGCGGAATGAACCTGAATATCCTGGGCGCCGGTGTCCTGTCAAAGAGTTGATCCGCTATTCACCTCCACGTAAAAAACTCTCTGGCAACAGCATGTGCGACAATCTGAGAACCAAACCGACCACATTGAGAAGTGACCGCCACCTCTCCTACGTCATTGAGCCATAAAGACATGACTGACTTCACCCTAACCAAGGCGTGACCAACCTGTCGTTGATAAGCGGCATCAAGCCGTTTGTCGTCGTCATCGAAGTCCTTGAGAGATGTCAAGAGCTTGGGCGAAAGACTGATCGAGTCAGGCACTATCCCCATCGATAGCAACTGAACCGAGTTGTTCAAGGCCGCCTGGGTCTCCGTCGTGTTCACTCCCATCAGCAGCAAAGCCGGACTGTTTGAGGAGTATTGGGTCGAGCAAAGTAACGACGCGGCATCCGGTGAACAACCATAGCAAAAATAGTGAAGTTGGTAGACACGGATAAGCGGTACGCTACTAAAAAAAATGAACCCCGCACCCATCTACTCATTGACGGACAGCGAAGAGCAACAGCAGTGCTTGGTCTTGTTGACAAGTATCACCTCGCTGCTCCGCTTGCTGCCAGAAGCAATTTGCCCGTTCCTGCCGCTGCCTGCTTGGACGCGTAGTCGACGACTGCCTTGACAGCTTTGCTGTCTATCCGCGCGCGGTTTGCAACGTAGATACCTGTAGCGCACATGTGCCACAGCACCGAAGCCCGACGGAACGGATTGCATGCGTGCTGTTTGTATTCGGATTCACTGTGCTTCGCGCGATCTCTGCGCAAGGGAAGGATAGCACATCACAGTTCACGTTTCCAGGTACGCATTTTCAGTACGAGTTACATTGTGTCTACGCATGCTGGGCAAGTGCATAGCATCCTCCGTTCCACACGAAATAGTAAAACAATACTAACATCGAAAAACTTGTGCCTCGCAAGAGCCACCAAGAAAGCCCAAGGCAGACAAGTAGATATTTATGCTGCGGGTCCGTCATCGATAAAGCACGTTCTCATAGAACCCTTCAGATGGTTTGGGTAGATGGGCGACATCCAGAGGAGGGAGGCACCTGGGGGTGGGATACACTAGACTTCCCACATCGTCAACACTGCGCATGCTAAAATACTAAAATATCATGCGTACCTTACACGTGAGGCAGTGCGTATCCTAACTCGCCCTCCGAAAAGTACAGCGAAAGGTGGACTACCTCTGTTTCTTCGAGTACGATACGCTGCATCCTTCAAATGGAGCACATCAAAAGAACAAGACTGACTCTTACCTGTGATTAGATATGAATGACGGGGGGCGTTAATTCATTTTGTCATTGTATATACTGTACAACTATTGGTTTAGGAAGGGCTTATGGTGATCGGCCCCCCATACGAATTCGCGCGAGCCTCGAAGCCTCAGGTTTGTGCATGAAATGCATTCATGAGCGAAGTACCCGGCCGATAGTCACACACGATGGGAAATGTTTCTTTTCATTCAAGCACTCATGCTTAAATGAATCGTGCTGTGCAAACAGTGACCCGCCTGCATGAAAAAAAAGCGCGGATCCGTCCTGTCTTTACCCCCCAGGCACACGAGCGTTTTTTCACCACATTCCCGTGCCGTCCATGGGACTTTGATACACAAGCAAGCCGAAACAACTAAAGGAAAATCCTGCAGTGCCATTGCGACGTAACTAGGTCGTAAGCGGGGGAAGTTTATCTGCATCAACACAAAATGCGTAGATTCTGTGACCTTGAGTGAAGATTCCCTGTAACTGCTGAACCCGTACATCGTTGAGTTAATGTGATTCTGTTTTTCCTTCTCAAAAACTGGCCCCTCGTAGACAACAACAGCTGAAAAGTGCAAACATCCGTGCACACAAGCGCGAAAGCACACACACACACACACTTCGGACGGCAAGGAATATGAAGTGAGGGAAAATCCTTCCTTGTGTAGGGCTCACACAGTACGAGACGTGAGTTCATGTAAGGGTGACGGCCAAGGGTATGAGAGACAAATACACAACAGCAGCATGCGGTAGAGCACAGAGGACGCATCTAAGCCAGCAGTACCAGTACCAGTTGGGACAAGGCTCTTCTGCCTTATCCTTGGGTCGAGGATACAGCAAGCCCATAGTGTCTGCGCCAGAAGCGAACGTTCAAGGAAAAGTGCGTCACACACGTGCCAGAGCGATGCTAACAAACGGCTCAGCTAATACACTCCATTATCGCACAAACAACGTGAACCCCATGCACTGCTGTTTTACACGAAAAGAGTATATAGCCCTTCTCGGAACTGGCATTGGAACTTACAGTCGTGTTACGCTTCTACAGTGTTAAGACGGGCCCTCTCTCACCCCTGCTTCTGTTTACCACGCAGGGCGAATCACAGCAACATAGTCCAGCACCAGCGCACCAACGTCAGCTTCGTTCTGTGTTGTCTCTCCGCAGGGCCACGTTCGGTCATCATGTGTTAGGGGGTGCGTACCCGCTGTTGGTCTATTTTCGTTTCGGGCTTCGGTAGTAGATCGGTGCTGGGGAGCACGCCCGCCCCAACACCAGAGAGGTCGAGGGTATAGTAACGTACTGGGTGTAACGCTGGGCACATTGCTGATCATGCATACGTGCGTGTGAACAGGTCTTTCTGTTGTCTCTCTCATGGCCTCTCCACATGTGTTTCTCAGGCGAATTACGCCCCCGATCTATTCGCACACGTAACAAGGGACTGCACACGTTACTAACCCCTGCTGTGGTCACGCAAGGGTTAACCGCTGTTGTCGTTGCACAAGGGTGAGGCTGTGTGTGCTGACGCACATATTCTGACACAGGGAGGTGGGGATATTTCGTTGATCTGCATCGGCTCCTGCCGGCTTCATGAACAACAAAGCGTGTTTCCGGATGACACAGCAGTAGCAGTGGTTGGTGTGGGGGAGAGCCGAGCCTTACAGGGTTACAGCAACGGATTTGTTTAGCCTGTTTCCGAAATCATCCATTCCTTCCCTTCGCTTCGAGGGGGGGGGGGGGGGGTACCCATTTGTTGCTTGCCTTAATCATTTGACCATTGACCCCCCGTCACTTTCCAAACGGAACACCGTTCCTACCCCTACTAAAAACACCCCCAACATTTGGGAGCTCTTTACTTTTCTGCCCCAAACTACATAAAAATTTCTTGCACATGGGGGGGGGGGGGACCCAAAATCCTGGCTGCCC